ACTGCCGATGATTCCCAAATTAGGACGAAACAGCTGTCTGGTGGTACTCCGTCGTTTTCAATGCTCCTCTAACCGATGTCAATCAGTGATCATTTCGTAAAATAAAGATCTCATTTCGTAACTTCAATTCAAAGCTGTACAGAAAGTTAGAGGAACAATAAGTTCTCCACTTGGCCCATTACTGGTCGTTTGTTTCACGGCGTACCTTGAGTCAAATATTCGCTTACCAACGATCAGACGGTTTGAAGTTCACAAGGGGTATATGGATGATATATTTATCATCAGTGATGAAAATACTGACCTAAATAAAAATCGTGTGAATCTTCAGCAACATTCATCAGCCAGTTTAATTCAAAACTGAAACGGAAGCAGAACAGAAAAAGAACTCTAATCGCCTCTCAGGTGACAAGAATCCACCTTATATGCACTGAAGATGCATTGAATAAGGAGTTGGAATTCTTTGGAAAATTTCTGCTCACAACACTGGACATTCAACCTCCTCTTTCAGAGGCAAACATCCAAAGAGAATGACCGATACCCCTCTCGAAACCTAAATTTACCAAAGAAACAATTAATTGTATATCTGAAATTATGGAAATATACAATTAGTGAGGTTCTACGAAGCTGCCTGTCGACAGCAATTCAAAAACGTTCTCTACAGCTGCATTTCACCGTCTCATCTCCTTCACACATGCTCTTATTCACTGAAACGTCAAAGGCCATATTGCATATTGTTCTGAACTTCAATGTGTATTTACCGATTTTGTTTCTCCTGTGGAGTTGTTTACATAGGCCGTGAACCAGTAGGACACTGTCTGGATGTGTCCGTGAATACTTACCACCATGTTTGTCAAAAGGAAGGATGTAGAACAGCTAACACCTCAGTTCTGAAGTATATTATTACCAATTCTGGTTACGCAGCACCTTGGATCAGTTCTTTCCTCTGACCTTTCATGGTCATCCCACATCTTATCTATCTGTAAGAAAATGTTTCGTCTTACCTTCTACATTAAAAAGTTAAGACAATCAGGTGTCATCCAACCTTTACTTCTGCAGTTTGTAAACTCCTGTATTTTACCTATTGTACTCTATTGCTCTCCATTAAGCTTTCCTGGGCTTCTCAAAAAAGGCTATATCATATTACTAAAGGTATTAAATGCTGTGAGTAGGGCTTGTGGTGTGCCACTGCGTTAGCTCGCCAATGCTATGGTCGAGAGACACATAAATTCCTGTACAAAATGGCCAAAGGCTGCACTGTCAGACCCTCTGCACCCCCTTAATTCACAACTATCCCCTTGTATCTCATCAGGTAGGACGAGAAGTCAATATAAAAAGTTATATGCTCGTACCACTCAGTAAAGAAATTCTACAATACCCTATTTAGCCCGTACCTTATGTGACGAAGATTCTGTTAGACGTGAAACACATAAGTTACTATGTAATTAGCAAAGTGAATCGACCCTTTTATCAGTCATCTTTCTGTAATTTTATGGTGTCACCCTTTCTATCGTTTAATTATAACTTTGCTATTTTATTTTAGTTTTTATTACTATTATCACTGTAATTTTATACTTTATGCATATTTTTCTTCGTATTGCATACAGTAATTTGCTACATAGCTGCTATAACAACGTTTTATTATTATTATGTAATGTTTGTTTTCATTTTTATTTTTTTTCGTTTTTGAGTAAATTAGATGCAATATTGTACTGAATACTGAAAATTCCTTTCTGTATCACTAGTACTGTTTTTGGAATAAAGCAAAAATTATTAATATTATTATCAGCAGAGACTTATTCTTTTAGAGTCAGTCAGATATAAAGTACAATTAGGACATCCGAAGGGATTTCGCCCATATCTTCTTCAGGTCACCTAAGCCTTAACAATCCTAACTGACAATAACCCTTAACCCGTAATGTCAATCTATACGGGATATATAAACCTCTTAAATAAGTGTACATCTTTCAAATGAAGATATAAGAAGAGATCTCTTTACTGACTCATATGTTCTCAACTTTCCCTCAGTCTGTAAATACGTCTTGCTGTTGAATGGTGATAAATATCATATTTCATGAAGCACTCATAACTTCTTCCGGGTTAAATTATAATATCTGATATTACGACAACTGCTAAATGTCAGACCACCAACCTCTACGGCTTGGCATGAATGATTTCCGACTAGTCGAATAACACCGAGAGGTACTCTAGCGATGATTGGCCGTAAAGAGAATGCGAAGAAAATACATTGCACTGATCAAGGCACTCTACTTGAACTCGTACAGCCAGGTGAGGGCTTACGGCGAGTTGTCATCTGAAGTGGTGAGGACTAGTGGTGTCCGTCAGGGATGCCCATTATCACCATTTCTTTTCAACTTCATCATAGATGTACTGATGGACTTAACCCTAACTCACTTCAAAGACACAGGGATTGACTTGCTACCAGGGAATGATCTCGTCGACTTAGAATATGCAGATGATATTGTCCTCTTTCCTAGGTAAAGAGGCTGACAAAACGCAGAGTCTTTTGAATACATTGAGCTGCAATCTACGAATGTCTCGCAAGCGATTCGCTCCCGCCAAATGTAAGATGATGTTACAGGACTGGACTGGACTACACTGAATCCTAGTTTAGAAATAGGGAGTGAGGTAGTAGAGCACGTTGACCGCTTCACTTATTTGGGAAGTACCATCAGCCAACGCCAACGGGTTGATCTCTGACGAAATCTCAGCACGGATACAGAGGGCTAGTTTCGCATATGCCAGTTTACGCCGTCTCTGGAGTAGACGTGATATCCGGCTGGCTATCAAACAAGGGGCGGGTGCACTGCTCATCAGTCCGCTCCGTCCTCCTTTGTCACTGCGAGTGAGACATGGCCATTGAGAGTGGAAGACATGAAAAGACCTGCTGGCTTTCTTTGCTCATAGGTGCCTGCGATCTATCTTCCGTGTGAAGTGGCATAATAAGGTGAGGAATATTGAGGTGAGGCCATGGTCGAGTGCTAGGTAGGTGGGAGGGGAAATCAATCAACGAGGCTGTGAAATTACATCGACTGAGATGGTTATGATACGTGTTACGTATGCATGCCTAGTCATCGCCTTCCTCGAGAATGGGCAATGTTAGTTGACATACAGTCAGGCTGGAAAAGAGCTAGCAGCGGTCAAACCAAAACATGGCACCAGTCAATGAGATCTACAACAGTTAGTTTAAGCCAGCCAAGTAGGAAGGTGTAGACTTCCTGACTGGTTGGGTCCTCGGGAAGGTAAAAATCTATGACAGCTGGAGACAATTGGTGATATGGGTCAAAATCGTTCTCAATGGCTGGCGTAGATGCATCCACTCCTTGTGACCTACAATTTCCAATGAAACTCTATTGTTCTTTGTTATTACTATTCCTTTGTCTCACACCTCTGTTTACTGTCTCTAATATGCGTTTCTTCTACTTTCTTGTGTTGCTTTGTGTTCTACATGGAGTGTGGCGACTTGAACTAACGCACATATGTGCAAAGTTCTATGTCGAAAGTAGACAGACAGACAGACCGATATTCTAGCCAGCGCACAGCGGATAAAATCGATAATCGGCTGATTGGTTCTAATACCATCATCAGTAGATTCCTAACGTGACGCATACGTAATTGTATGTAACTTACATGTTCCATGCCTGATTGGGAGATTTCAGTACACTGATATTAGTACCAGTAAAGCGAGGACTAGTACCCAGGATGCCTCACCTTCAGACACAGATGTCACATTAGCATCAACAAGCATCCGATTGGTTGACTGCTATAAGATACTTCTTCTAACGTCCTATGTAAGGAAGAGAAGACAGTCTGATATCATTCAGTCTTTCCACTTAAAGTCTGTTAACAATTGCTTTCCCCCCACGTTAATCTTCGTTGGAATACTTAACAAAGACTTTATTACATTATGAAGAACATTAAAAGTCATTAGTAGGGCGAGTAGGGTGTCACTGAACCAACTCTTTAATACTGTCGTGGGTAGATATATGGACTCATACAAGAAATTACCGAGTATTATTATGTCAGTCCCTGAGCATCCTGTGTATACATACACAACTTTGTCCTTGCATCATCTCATGAAGTAGGTCAACCTAGAAGCAATTATTGAAGTTTTAATGCTCTGATGACTAAGTATAAAACTCTACAATACCTTTCATTTGGTCGGGACACATTTTATGTGATGACAGAGGTGCAAGGCGTGATACTAATAATTTGCTGAAGAACACTAAGTATTCATACTGTCTCTCTCTCTCTCACACACACACACACAATCGATTACACACACCCTCGAAACCTGTGCCGTTGTTGAATTTTGTTCCACCCCCATCGTATATTCTACCCACAATACACATTTCTGGTATTAATCTAACTTGCCTTTACTGACTAGCTATTGTATGCTTAAATCGATGGACTTATTTTCTATAGTTTGGCTTGTAAGGGTTAGTTATGTTTTTTCCAAGTTGATCACAGATAGATATTAGTTAGAGAACCATTGAAAATCAGGGAGTACTGGACAGCTGTTTTATCCTAGTTTGGGAATCATCGGTAGTACGCTAAATCACGAATTGGTTGAAGTTAGAATTCATGGACTGGTCATTGAATCGGGTCCCAGTGGCTGAATGGTATACGAGTTAGCTTGCCTTGTAACCGAAAGGTCCTGGGTTCGAAACCCTGTGGTGGGTGCGTACTGCCGATGATTCCCAAACTAGGATGAAACAGCTGTCCAGTACTCCCTGGTTTTCAATGGTTCTCTAACTAATGTCTATCCGTGATCAACTCGGAAAAATCAATGGACTTATGATTATAAAGCCTGAAGAAGAATTTATTGAAACCACAATTATTCGCTCTAACTATGTCTGCTCTAAAATCACATGGTACTTGAAGCCTTATGTTCCACTTGAACCTCACCAAAAAAAATAAAATATAAAATAAAAACATAAAGAAGAAAATGGTAAACAAAACAAGATGGCGGCAAAACTTACTTTAGCAATCATATGCGTAGCATGTTTAATTGTAGCTTCAGGATTGGCAAATGTTAGACTACAAATACTATCAAATAATTTTGATAAATGACGTATCACTTTCAGCGGGACTTTTCCATTGCTAACAATATCAGTCACATCATTCTGTGAGACAAAATAAAATCTTGGAAAGGCTAGACGTTTTGTCTCTAGATAATCAGCTAAAGCCTTTTCACAAATCGCCAGACCATCTCGTACCTTTTGGATATCAGTGAGTAATTCTAGTCGTGTAGTTGTAGCATCTAACACTTTTGGTTTACTTTGTATCTCATCGATTAGAACACGAAAATCTTTATCCAGTGACATAAATAATTCTGTATCTTTCGGCAATTTCGCTTTGATATCATCACATAGAACAAATATTGACTCTAAACCAGACCATACACGTTGTGTTTCAAACCAGATAGCGAGTACCTGGTCAGTAAGGGATAGAGTTTTATGCCAATAATTAATTTTATCAATATAATAGGCATTATCTCGATTGCCTAACATATCTAATACTTTAACTTGTATTTCTTCAAGGGTTGTAGTTAAATAATCTGTTTGTTTTGGTAAACTCAAACCTGTTCTATCGTGTGTATCATATTCAAATTTCATTTCACTCCATACTTGTTCAATCTTGTCAAGATCACGTTCAATTTTTTGTTCATTCAATGATTTTGATACAATAGCGCGTACTTCTTCTTCGAATTTATGCAAATTTAATGATAGTAGATCAGCTAGGGTTGTTGTATCAGTGATTTCTATTAGACGACCAGTTTCTTGCATTAATTCTGTCCAATGACGAGACTTGACTGCAGGATTTTGTAGATCTCTTACAGCTGTTACTGATGCATTAATATCTTTTAATTCAGCCTCTAAACCTTGAAACATTGGCCATTGACGAACTTCTTTATCCATTGTACGTATTTCCATTGAAATTTCACGGATGACCTAAGGCATAAATGTGAAAAAAAACCAGTCAGTTACTCACCATACCATGTTTTAGTTTATCATTATTTCATAATAATTTCTATCACAGTTATACATATGCATTTAGTTTTATTAGCTAATGGTTATCCGGAGAACTTTATCACTTGTCACAGTAAGGATAGACCACATCTCGAAAAGACAGCTTCTTTACCAAAGAAAGCTATCTACCTTTGTTAACCTACCATTCAAGGGTGACCAGATTATGCAGTTGACAGCTAACTCAAAGACTTCGGTCAGCCATCAAACGCAAGTTCTACGTCGCATCTCTTTTTCTCACTTGCCGAACATTTTCGATCCCTGTACCTACGATTAAAGGACGAAATTCTGTGAACTCTACTTCAGACTGTATCTACAAGTTCACCTGCAGCTGCGGTGACACCTATATAGGTAGAACCAACAGAATGTTCCAATGTCATCGGAAAGAACATGTTCCAAAATGGCTAGTAAATCATATCGAAAATCCCAACGCGATTACTCTGAATAGAAATCCAGCATCATCATCCACTGCAAAGCACTTATTAATGTCAGGTCATAAAATCAATATTAATGATTGCTTCACAATTATTTCATCACATAACTCTAATTCAAGGTTGGTTATCGAAGGTGATGGAAGCACTTTGGAGGATTATCACATACAGCCTAAACTGTGTGTACAAAGGACAATAGACTTCAACCTTCCTTCGCCTAGCATGGACTACATGACCTACTTAAATAAGATTGGTCATTTGTATGTACTTTTGTTTTTTATTTAACTGAGTAATTGTCATTAACTTTATTTTATCATTGTTAACCATGTTAGTTGTAAAGCGGTTGTAAAGAAACTACGAAATGATACCATCTCGCGAAATTTGCTTCTTAATGCCTTACTCACATTTATTGTGTTGATTAATAACACTATATTTCTAATACTGATTTTGTGTGAACACTTTACCGTGTTTCCAATGGCTTCGGTCTATTTTGTAAATTAAAGAATTGTCAGTTATTACTCACACTTATTACGCAACTCCCAACTTCAGTTCTTCCCCACTTGTCTTCATTTATCTACGCCTTTCGAGATCATACATCATCTTGAAGAATACGCTTCAGAAGCACTCACCAGAAACTGAACCCGAGACATTCACGTGACCAGGCAAGCTCGTTGTCCATTCAGCCATTGGGAGGGGATTCAATGGTACATGATTCCTAACTTCTGTCAATTCACAATTCATGGAGCAACCTCCAGCTAATGTCATAGATCCCCAATAATATCATGGGTGTGTACTGCTGAAGAGTTCCAAGTTGGGATCAAACAGCTGTTCATTAATACCCCGCCCCCAGCGTATTTATCGATTTCTAACTGGTTACAGGATTTCATCATGAGCTGACATCAGTTAGAGAACCATTAGAAAACCAGCTGGTAGCACTGGACAGCTGTTTCATCCTAATTTGGGACTCTTCACCAGTTTCACCCGCAACCAGGCTTCGAACCCAGGACATTCAGGCTTCAAGGCTAGCTCACAGACCATTAAACCATTGGGACCCTACACAGTGGTCAGTACATGGATTCCAACTTCCGCCAAATCACCACATAGCGCGACCACTAGCCAACTTCATCCATGGCGAGTATTTGCCCTCACATCCAACCTCCTGTACCCTACTAGTTAAGAATTCCTACCTGAACAGGGCTAGTCACTAGTAAGCATGACAGTGGTACCCAAGTGTTGTTTTGTATGTATGTATATTAAGAAGGGACATATCTTGTCTTTAAAACCCTTGTTCAATCATATGAGTCATAAAGTAACTGCGAAACATAATTCACAAAATTACATGAATTTTGATCAAAATTTAACCACAGAATTACAAATATTACAGATAGTAGTCTATTTTTGTTAAACAGTATGTACTTTTGCTTCAGATTTTTGATGATTACGTTCGACTAAATTTCATGGTCATGGAAAAAGCATATGTTTATTTCTCACTGAGCACTAAATCATTTGAGAACTATTCGATCTAATCTTGATCACAGTTCATATGAGTCATTCATTAATATCCATTTTGTGACTAGACATTAATAAACATTTTCGCGATGAATGGTTCATATCAAAACAAAGAAAAACTACTCCTTGAATGGACAGTTTCAGTAACAAAGAAAGCTATTGTTGGTATTAGATGATTGGAGGCAGTTCGCAGGCAGCCTTGCTTGACATAGATTTCGTTCTAATTGGCACTCGTTAACAAGGCGTATCTGCAACTTTGAAGGAACCCATATCCCTCGTGAGGTTCGAACCCGCGTCACCCAGAGACGTTACCATTGAGCTATTCGAGCTCGCGGTTGACTTCCTCAGAAGGGACATGAGCTCCTTCAAGTTTTCAGACACGTCTTGCTGACTGGTTAGTGCCAACTAACACGAAACCTAGGCCGAAGCTTCCAGAAGACTGTCTCCAACCATTTAGTACTAACAATTCACAGTGCACCGTAATGGCAAGCCACCTAGTGTGGTGGCCACATACGATTCAATCTGCACCAAAGATGGGACTAGACACATTACACCAGTTACTGAATAGTATCCAATTAAAAAGAAGGCTAACTTAATTAAACTACCTATGAAGGGTAATCGAATTGTACATTTGACAGCTAAAAAAGTTGGCCACGGTTAACTATCATCAAGCGAATATTCTTTACCATATACGCTGTTGTTTAATACACTAAAGAGATGAAGAAATGTATTCTTCTTCACGCTGTTTACATTGATGCTATCAAAGAAGTGAGTAAATGTAGTCTGCATGTAATGTAAGGCAACATACAGCACAATGAATCAATGAATGAGTATTCGTAGGCCGAAATATGCGTGATAGACTTTGATTTCCACTTCACATCTGAGTTGCATTCAGTTACTTGTTGTCATTGTCCATTGTAAAATTCTCTGCTTTTAAGTGTGTTTCTACAAATTATGGTGGCTTTAGAACCAGCATACTTTTGTGCAAGATTCTACATTCATAAGTTAGTCGTTTAGATAAACAACAGTCATTATATAACAGTGAAGCGAGAGATAAATGACCACTGTGTATATTAGGGTAACAGTGAATACTGGGTACCTCTCCCTCTCCGCTGCCGCCACTCACTGATAACTGATACTTAATACATACTATTTTCACTTGTCAATAACTGATAAACTTTTAAAAGACGAAAGGATTGATAGAATAAATATTTTCTTCCTAATTAGATCCTCGTCACTGACTCTAATATGTATATATACATATGGCGATTTCAATACAATACAAAAGGAGTGGATTGCATAATGCACATAATTTGAGAAAAATGAAGAGTGATTATGAAATAAGTGAGTATTCAACTTCGTTGCGTAATAGGCCATTTGAGATGAAGGAGTCAGAAAAATTTAAAATAATTTCGATAGTGATATTATCTGACCACACACGGACTTGTCATAAGAATACATATGAAATTAATAAAGAGGTACATGTGGACACACATACATAGGGCGGGGGTGGGGACTCATCGATCTCTGCAAGTAAGGGCTTCACAGCATATTCCTAAATGCCTCCAGAAGCAAATAGAAGCACCAAAACCCACTAATTGTACGAACAGGAGACCTAGCGCTTCTATCGCGAAACATATTATAGAGACAGGACATAAAAGTGATGTTAACAGATCTTGTAAACCTATCTGTAAAACGTGTTTGGGGCGTATCCTAAAGTTTGTGGAAGCCCTAGCAATTAGAAAGTGCAAGTCACCTTTATGCGTTCAAAGCAACAATTCGTCATCACATTAAACCTTCTATGGTAAATTTTGTTTTGATACCAGCCAGGGTAGATGTACTATTTACCTCTGCTATTTGGTTTAGTGGTCTTCATTGTTATTTTGACCTTGAATATGTCCTTTCAACTTGACCTAAGTCTATTTTCTCACATCTTACCTCTTTATTAATTTCATGTATATATATATATATATATTCCCATGATATGTCCGTGTATGGGATGCGATTGTTCGGAATGTGTGTTGCGCAAATACAACACTACACGATTCAGACAAATTACGTCTTCCTATTGATTTATCTAAATTCATGAAGGGAACTAATTGTTTTAAAGTGATATTATTACCGAAGTATTGCAGTTTTTCATGCACAGTACCTGGCTTTAGTGTTAAATTCATATTCTTCTCAATGGAATTATCTGGATAACATCAGTGAAATAGCAAGGCAGTGCCTGATGAATGCAGTTAAGAAAATAGCATCTATTCGAACAGACGTACACTGTTTCTTCACAACCACTTCGATTTTACATTGGACAAATAAGGACAAACTACTTAATGTCGCCTCGTGTATACGTGTATCTATGCGTTTGACTGCAGCTTCGTAGTCATATATATTAGGCGAGAAAATAGGTAGGTTCACCATCGGTGGATTTCTATGCATCATTCTACATAGTGGTTAAGCAGCAAGGGACAAACAAGATCTGTTCATAACTGTGTTTTAGCCCACCTCGCAGACAGTCAGAATAAAATTGATATTTATAAGGCATTTAAAGTTATTTAACGGATTCCAGCTGATCTCAGTTTTGCTTCACAAGTTCGGCTTCTCTATACACAGCTGAATGATGCCATGTGAATCCACTAGAAGAAGTAAAACTTGCGTGTTTACAAGAAATTCGAAACAGACACTTACCTTACTTTGTAACAAGGAATTCTGGAAACCAACTAATCATGGAGCAAATGCCCAAGAAATATGTTGTACAAAGGGCAAATGGACAAGACAGATACTGGGGAAACTCTTGACTGAAATTGCTCACCGGGCACTTAATTATATACAGAATGGAAAAGGACTTGTTGGACGTCCAACGGTGACAAAGTGAAGATTGTGTGAACAAGTAATTAAAGCCTATGGGTATTAGTGAGGCGAGCTGAAAGTGATTTGAGAGAAAGGAGAGCAGTGGATACCTGCAGTTGTAACCAGATATATGGTCCACTTGGAACTCAAGGGAATACTGATATAATAATTACGGTCTACAAGATGCCTTATTATCTAAGCTTGGTGTCACCATTTTGCTACCATTTGAGAAAATGCTCAATCATGCACATAGGCAATTGACTTTTCATACGACCTATGGATTTGATTTCAAAAATTTGACAAATTTATGAAATTCTACTTTAATAACACGTTAGTAAGACTTGTTTCAAACACTGAATGTGAACTGAAAACCCCTTTGCTGCGGTATGATTCACTCATCTCAAAATACCACTAACATATTAGACAGCATTATTGGCGGGGTATTTTACTAGATCAAGACATATAAGTGAACAGTATTGTTGTCTTCAATTGGATCTTCTTCTTCAGGTTTTACTCTAATCTATACGTAAAAAAATTTAACCGACGTCGGTGAGTTTGTGGATCAAATAGTAATAATGATAATAACAACGAGTGTTAGATGTTTTGAACGTCAGTGATAACGATGATTATAATGATAGAAAACTTAATAACAATAAGGCTTATGAAGGTAGTGATAAGAATAACAAAGATGGCAATATGTGTATATGTAGACAATTCAATAAATAAATAAATTAGGTCAAATCTTAAAAGTTACGTAATACTAAAGGTGGTGAAGTGGACAGATAATCAGAGTTTTTGAATAAATGTCATAAGAGTACTAAGGAAATGGCAAATAAGAAAGGGTGGGAGGATTTTAATTAGACTTTAATTAGGCCAGGAGAGAGACTAAGGTAGAACAAACTCCTTTTGATGTATGCAAAGACTACGATTGTTCTGTCGAATTCCCATAGATTCGGCTATGTGTCAAAGGCGGGTTCGATTTCCGTTCGAAAGTGGAATGTGATAGATAACTTCGAAGGCACTTCTTCTTCTCCTGTCCACTTGATGACAGCTGTTGTCAGTCAACTGAGACAGAATACTACTTCTTATAGATTTTTATTGGCCTTTACCAAACCAAGAAGGGAGATGCTCATTAGTGCGTTTGTTAAGCTGTCTAGTTGTTCACCCTGTATAGCTTTCTCCACTGGAGCAGCTAGATTTGTAAACACACACTGAGATGACACAGCTAGGCAACTTGTCTTTCGCTTGAACGATCATAATTGATCTGCTGGGAAATGTCAAACAAAGGGAGGTGGTAGTATAAGTCCGTTTTATGCCTCTAGACAATCTTAGATGTAGAAATTCACCAGCCACATCCTCGTTGAACTGCAGTTTGAGGAACAGTTGTTTCTTTTTAACTGGTGCCAGGTTCTCCTAATAATACCTGGTGTTCATATGTCTCCTTGCAAATCTGCTAGGATAACCCATTTGGATCAGAGTGTTTGGTATGTATCTTAATTCATTTCTAGGGAGTCATCTGTACAGATCCTACTTACTCTATTCGTCAGGTATCTGACCAAACTGACTTTTTATCGGATTGGTACAAACTTGAAGGAATGTGTATACTGACCTACAGATGTAGGTTTCCCACACACATATAACTTGAGTGAACCATCTGTTCTCTTTTCTGCTCAAATGAACATCAAGGAAGTGTAGTCTACCATCACGTTCTTCTTCACAAGTGAACACGAGCGATGGTTGTGCATCATTAAACTTTTTTAACATTTCATTCTTGTCAGCGTTCTCATCAAGAGTATTAAACGTATCAACAACATAACGAAAATAAGAATCCGTTTTATCTATTACTTGTTTCAATGGACTATTTTCAAGCTTAGCAAGAAAGAAATCTACCTAATCTGGGCTTAATGGATAACCCATGGCAATGCTGTCGATTTGTCGGTAACAAATGTGATTGTTGAATGTGAAGTTTACATTTACAAGCAGCTCCTTGAGATATCAAACTGCTTTCCTGATAATTGTTGGCTTATCTATTCCATAGTTTCCATTAGTGGTAAATTGGCATTTGCTTACCACTTACATTGACATAATTTACGTTAGAAATGAATTCAAAGACGTCTATAACATTATGATATACCACATTCTTATGCAACGGTTGAAGGAACTCACCTAGACTCTTCAGAAATGTCTAGGACTTGGTGAAGAGGAATTCCTAGTTCATGTATTTTAACCAAACCATACAATAGTGAAGTATTACTTCCAGTAGGATTAGGATGGTTGTAGGCTGTCTCTGAGATTACGCTACTTTTCCTTAGGTGTTTAAGCGTGGTAGTTGGCTGCTATTCAGCTACTCTTCTGTCTAGATCTGTTGAGCTGTTAAGCTCCTGGAATTTCAGTTCATCGGTTAGAAGCGAGTTGGTTTTGTAAACGTACTCACACTTATTCATCAGTACTGCTGTGGCTCCTTCATCAGGCCTGCTGATTCTAATGTTTTCATTGTTCCTTAAAACTTTGTGAGATTGAAAATGTAATTCAAGTACAACGTCGACATCTTGGAGTTTCAAGATGAATTCAGAGAAACCAGCAGCAACAAGTAACAGCAAATATATTTCGTCATATTACAATGTTATTAGGAAATGTGTGACCCCGATTACGGTGTGGGTGTGGTGATAAGGACAAAGGCTTTGGCCTGTGTTAAGAAACACACCCTAAATTGATAGTGTCATCCTCCGGTGCTACAAACGAGGCATGGCACCAGGATTGGGTGACACGAACATAACCGATGGTTTTTCGAAAAATACTATTTAAGATAGTTTAGTTTAAAAATACGCAGCGATACAGGTTCGAAACGAATATATAATAACATCATTACCACCATCCATCCATCTCAAATGCATAACACCATCACCATAAAAGTAAATATTACACAACGGTCCTAGGCAAATCATGTACAATATGACCACAGGATGATTACTGTATTCGAAATAAACCCATTCACACCATCAGACTTACTTTGTAGTGAATTCAAGAAGTCACGAGAGGGTATAGATGAAGTGCTCGTGATGCTGGTGAATATTTCAACTGCCCATTGGGTGGTAAATTGTCGTAAATGCTTCCACTTTATTCGTTTTGTATCTCATACTACTTACTACCAATCAGTAGTATGACAGTAATTAGGAGATTAAATGTTATCCCAGAGGTATCAAACACTCATCTCTTATTAATCCCACATATTTCCAGTATCAGTTTAAATGTATCTTTGAATACTGGTCAGTTACCTTGATGATATCAATATTGTAAATAAAAACTTGTATTCTTTTGATGTGGACGGACTCCATATTCACTTATGTCCCTCTACTCAAAACAACTGACATTTTGTGTGATTATATTTCACCACACATAATTTGCTGGTCCCGTTCCCTATATCTTATTTACAGCGTTTATTACTTCTGCGTACCAGAAATGTTAGGCTTATATTTGAAGGTGACTGCTCCTGTCAGGTTGATGGTGTTTCTAAGGAAAGCTCGTTCACGATAAATTTAGCAGAAATCTATATGTTGAGCATTGAAAGTTTATCGGTAGATCTAATTGAAAATGTACCAGTTCCTAGAAGATATGTCGATGACATTCTGATGAACAGTGATAAGCCTTGTTCTGCCACTTCAATTTTAAATCGAATGAATGAAATTCAAAATAACATGTCAATTGTGTCTATAGGAGAGGAAGATAATTGCTTATCTCTCCTAGATACATTGGTTGGTCGACAGACAGCCTCATGGATCAATAAAACTATCTGTTTACGGAATACCTACCTAGATAGGACAATACCTTAATTATCACAGTCTCTCATCTATTTGGCCCGAAAGGCCCTTGGTGAGATGCCTGTGTCAGTAGAATCCAACGAATATGCATAGAAGACACACTTAAAGATGAAGAGAGAAAACTGACACAAACCCCGGTTGATAATAATTATCCAGAGAAGTTCATTAGGAGATCTGAAGTGGTCAGTGGAACACCAAGACCTATTCTCCAACTCGCCACTGTGAAAGACATTTATATCAAGCTACTGTATATAGGTGAATGTGAAGCTCATATATCCATGTGAGCACTTAGAACATACGAGAAATGTTGTCAGTTACCACTCTATCTACCAATTTAAATGTACCAATAGCCATACACATACACAGGGAGGACTCGTCGATGTTTGGACGTAAGGACTTCAGAGCATATTCTTAAATGGCTTCAGAAGCAAATGGAACCATTTTAATCCATTAATTGAGAGAACGGATGTATTGTAGAGACAGGAAATAAAATTTATGTTTACACCTCGTTTATTCAACCTATCTATAAAACGTGTTTGAGACGTATCCTAAAGTTTGTTGAAGCTGTAGAAATTAGGAAGTTTAAACCACCTTTGTGTGTTCAAAGAAACAATTCTTCATGACACTGTACCACCTTCCTTAGTAAACTTTGTTTTGATACATACCAGGGCAGATGTACTATTACCTCCCTCTCGAATTTTATATTGACCTTCAATACTGCATCCTTTTAACTTGACAATCAACGTCTATTCGCTCACCACTTAACTAACGCTTGATCACTGTGCGTCGGTAGCACAGTGGTTAGGACTCTCACCAACCATGCGCATTGTCCCGGGTTCGAGCCCTCGCCGACGCACACCTGATATCTATGATCGGCCTGCGAATTTCGGGCTACCGATATCCATGCTGAAAATTCCATACTTGTACCAAAAGTACAGTGTGGAATCAAGCTGTAATCAAAAAATAAAAAAATAAAAATAATAAATGACCAGTTCGTGGTGTATGATCACATTATTCGAAATGTCTTGCACCGCAAACACACCGCACAATTCAGATAAATTACGTCTTCTTATTGTTTAGTCCAGATTCATAAAGGGAACAAATGGTTTCATATACAAACAATTAGAAGGTAGAAATGTCTATAACAAGTGGATTATATAATACATAATTTTTGAAAAAATGAAGAGTAAGTAATTAAGCTATACTTACTTCATCAATAGTACCAAAATCAATTTCTTTCCATCGTGATGTTTTCCAATTGGTTACATAACTTCTAAACATGTTAATATAATCCCAGACACGTTTAGTTGTCTTCATTCCACGTCGCATTGTTTTCATATCTAAATAAGCTGGTACATCACGTACTTCAAATGATTTAGCTGAGATTTGCATTTCACCAACACCTTGTTCAAGTTTCAATAGTTTTTGATTCCACTATATGAAAAGTGAAAGAGAAAATTTTTTTAAATACAGACGTAGATAGGAATAAAAAAAATAAACACTCATGTGAGCTTAATTCATCATTACTATCTCAGTGAAATAAACTGAGGTGTAAAGGAAACAGAGATAACAAACCCAGAATTGGAAGAGTTAGGCACACCTTCACCAATCTGATGGGATCATTTTGAAAGTGTTCTGCACTCCGCCGGCGCATAAACAAGACTCAAATTTTCAACATCAGCGTTAAGTCAGTCAATCCATCAGTTCATCTATATGGATTTGCAACTTGCACTGTAGGTCACAAAAAGCGTTTCTAACACCCAGGTGAAGACTTTTATTAACAGCTGGCCTCGGTGTCTCCTAACACAGAACATCAAATGGCCAGGTGACCAGAAAGAATTAGGAACAAGCAACCCTAAGAAAGAACTAACCAAGAACCTATTGCTCAACAAATCTGTCGAAGAAAATGGAGATGGATCAGAGACACACACTGAGGAGACCATCTAGCGACATCGCACACCAGACCATTGGTCAAGTGGAAACCAAATGGGAAACGCTGAGTTCAGCCTTAGTCCGAAGTTGATATGGAATAGATCGTGTGAAGAGATGATACGAGCCAGATATATAGGACAGGAGACAACAGGACACAGTGAAGATGCCCTGTTGAACCTATCTGTATATTCTACTCAGGACCAAAGAGAACAACAAACAATACCATAATATTAATTGTCGATCAGGAAGTGATTTGGAAACTACTTCGCTACTACGGGGTCCCATCGACAATTATACATCTCATCTGACAGTTGTACGACAATGCTTCATGCCAAGTAATCCATAACGGGAAACTTACGGAATCCTTCGAAGTAAAGACGGGAGTAAGACAGGGCCGCCTACTATTGCCAATGATTTTCCTGATTGCGGTAGATTGGATAATGCGACAGACAACGGGCGGGCAATGAGGAAACAGGCATAAAATGGACTCGCACAAAAAACTTGGAGGATTCGGACTTCGCCGATGATGATATATGTCTGATTTCCCACAAACTGGAAGATATGCAAGTGGAAAGCAACAAATTGGTAAAAGAAGCATCAAAGATGGGACTTCAGGTGAACATAGAGAAAAAAGAGGTGACGAAGATTCCTGGCCAACACCAACAGCAGCAACAACAACAGACAACAATCAGCCAGCATGAATGGGAGGAATTTGAAAGAAACAACCTCCTTTACCTACTCACCTGGGAGACATCGTTTCAACTACAGACGGACGGAACTGACGAGGATATCAAAGTGAGGATCGGGCAAGCAAGGCATGCTTTCATTTAGAAAATCAAAACAAGTGATTCAGCGAAGAGACTCTTTTCAACGAATTTATCATCAAACTGTACAGTCGTATATATATATATATATATATTTGGTTTTTAAGAAGTTATATCCGGGGTGGGAATTGAATCTTAAGTGTGAATGCATAAAATAATAATAATCATATGAAGTGCAATTAAAAAACTAAAATGTTTGTGATTATGCTTATAGTTAAATGTCAAGTGGTAAAGCAAATTATTGTCATATGTAGAATAATTCATAGGAGGGATAGAACTTGAAAAAGGATGTGCAATTATAGGATTAGTAGACAAATCGAATAAAATAAAAACGTTAAGTAATATTGTGTGAAATTTAATAGCATAGAATTTAACGTTGTAAAAAGAATTGATTTAGAATGACAAGTGGAACAAGTGAAATTATACCGGGGACAGTTCAAAGTGAGAATAGTAATAATAATAATTGACTTAATAAGGTCGAGTATACAAATTGAATAGACAAAATGAAAAAAATGAAAAATTGGTAGAGCTAAAATATGATAGGGGATTACCAACAACACTCAGTATCAAAAAAGAAATCCGGATTCTCAACTCGAATGTGAAGTCAGTGCTACTTACTATATGGATCATAGGCCCGGCGAGTCACGAAGGGCACCTCGAACAAACTAAAGACCTTCAAGATCAGATAACCGGCCAGAAAACATCAGCAACAGGGATCTCTGGGAGCGAACTAGAAAAGCCCTCGAGTGGAACTCGAAATGGAAGCGGTGAGTTGGTCGTCCAAGGGTGATTTAGAGGAGATCATGTGAGGAGATGAAAGTATGCGAGCAGACCTGGAGTCAGGTGATAACTGTAGAGGAGAACCGAACTCAATGGAGACGTGCAGCTGAAGCCCTATGTTCCTCTAGGAACTAAAGGAAATAATAATAATAAATAAAATAATATTAATTAATATTTTTGTTTTCATTCCTTTTGTGTCTGGCGTGCAACACACATAATCCTCCAAGCCTTTACTCTGAAGTTTCAGTAGGGATTATAATTTTATTTTTTATGGGATGAAATTGCTAGCCTTACAATTAACTTTCTGTCCTAACTAGGATTAGAAAGATTTAAGAATGTTTCGGGGGCCAAGAATCGAACCAGGACCACGTGTAGTGTAGTTGGTGAGTATTTTACCATTTCACCACCGTTATACAGCTAACATCTTAATTAAATGAAGTGCGAAGTATATTTACTATAGCATAGGAAGAACAAAAACGTGGTCACAGCGAGGTAAAGATTTTTCTTTATGACATGTTTATCAGCTTGCCCGTACATTTATGAATATATAACAGAAAGGGTGAGGTGAGAAAGTTCCAGAACTACTTCTGTCAAAGCGTGAAAATCTGACGAATAACAAAAATGCAGTTACGTAACACAAATGAGGATCAAATTGAAACAGACTGGTTATGTGATAGTTGTGGCAGAGACAAATGCTGAATATACTTCTTTTAGATAAATACAACATCGACTTGAATTTTCAGATCTCTAATGCTTTAATTATACCCAAGTGTATTGAACTCATTCCTTTTAAGAGGCTTAATTGGATCTCATATGACAGTATTCAGGTTTTCCTGAATGGGGTTGAGTTCCCTGAGTTCTCTATATGTTCTGCCCTTTATTCAGCCAGGAAAGGTAATATTGTTTACATGAGCATTTTACAAGCGTGTACATGGTGCAGAAGAAAGTGAACTGATATATGTGTTGATGTAGGCTCAATGTAACAGTTTGTCTGTCATGTACTAGAGTGGCTTCCAATCTCTAAAGTTTTTTAACAAGGAGACAACAAAGAAGGTTCAACCATCATTTTTTGCTTTCAATGTTTTGATTAGCAGTCATATCTGCAGAATCCCTCAGTACAGGTATTTCTAAAAGTTTGGACTTTTTACCTAGTCAGTCTATTACCTTCTAGAACCGTTATCTATGTACTCAGTCTTTCAATTCGTGCCTTACTACCAGTGTATCGACAGAAGACAAGGGCCGGGAAGCAGATCGTTTATTGAGGAAATCAAGAGATATTTATATATTTTTATGTACATTATTATTCGTTATTATTAACAAAGAAACAGCGTCTTCTGATTGCTTGTTGTTCATTGGTTGATTGGTTGTTCTGTCATATCTTTGTGGCCGTTTCTTTGACGGTCTGCGAATCATATCCTCCCACGCGAAGTCTGTTGTGATTGGTTGTTGAATTAGTCCTTGTTCTTTTTGTTTTTTTTCTCATGACCAAGATATGGGACGTAAGTACTGGCGTAAATTACTGTCTACCAGTTTTACCAAACTGGTAAAAGTGGAGTCAAGTGAATTTACAGACTAACTAGAGACTCATCTACAAAGTTAGAGAGAACCATACCCGAGACATACACATTAAAACTACTTCAAACGATAGAAGACATTACAGTCCATGTGGCAGAGTATAAATTCTGCATACCCAGGAGGTCTGTTCAGCCGTTGAACATAAAAGGGGAACTGATCACCGGGAATTTTTCATATTTAAACTCGAATTTGTTTCTTTGTTAGTGAGTGGAAGTAGAATAAATGATACACGTTTCGTCCTATTTGTCACTTATTAGCTGGATATATATGAAGTCCCCAATGACTATTGGTTTCTCCACCAAGGCTCGAACCCAGCACCTAAGGAACACTACCATGCTATTAGATAACGACAGGAACTATTTTTCTTTTTACCTTTCAAGGAGCCCTGTTTATTGGATATAATCTAAAATGAAACTTATTAAATAAAAAAAACTTTAGAGTAGACAAGAGGTGGGAGTTGGGGGTTGACAAGTACAATCAATACAACTCACTTCATCTAAATCTGTATATGCTGTTAAACAGTTAAAATCGAATACATCAGAGGAATCGAAATTCTGCTTGAGCATAGCTGATTCATAATCATAATGAGCAGATTGTGCACGTATATTTTGCACTTCATTCTCTTGTAATGGTTGAACTTTTTGTTTAGTTATGATGGCTGTATTCTTTAAATCATTCCATTCATCTGGAAGATTCTAAATAAGAGAAATATGCATAAAGGTGTTAAAGTTTTATTTTTAAAAAGAAAATTTAAGTAGGCATTTGTAAAAAATTATATTTGTAAAATCTCAGCAAATTTGAAATAAGTAGTTCCAACGTTTCATCCGACAATCTGGTCCGAACTTCTTCAGGGAAATTAATCGAAATTAACATAAAAGGGGTATATATATAAAAAGACATCTGTTGTTTTTTAAAACTTTGTCTAATCATGAGCCATGAAACAGACATCAACATGTATAATAAACAAAACTGTACGAACTGTGATCAAGATTTGACCTCAGACTTTCAAAATTAGTCTACTTATGTTAAAATATATGTGTAGTATGCGGTATACAACGGTGTGTGTTTGTGTGTGTGTGTGTGGGTGAACAGTCCTAAAACATTTGTTATTCTCTCCATAAGAACTCTTGGACAATCTGGAATTTGAACAAGTGTGACTACTTGTTGATACATTCCCAATTTTTATTTATTAATCAGGATTTGCCTTGCATCAGCTAACATCACACCTTCACGTCTGTTCAAACTGTTTGGATTCACCCATATATATGTAGGGCTTCCACAGTCAGTCTTTCTTTATACGGATCGCTCATTTGTTTTCTAGCTTCTTCAAGTCTGTAGAGGTCTTTGGAACCATCTTAAGACATTGTTTATGCTCTTTCACTCATGTATTTACCTGTCTGGAAGTTTCTCCTACACATACAGCGTTACAGTCCCCACAATTGATCTGGTATACGCAATTCTGATGGTTTTCTTGTTCTATTTTATCCTTAACCTTCACAAGTGAAGAGCGTAAGGTGTTAGTTGTACGAAAATACACTCTCATGTTATGATCGTTGAGGATTCGCTTTATCTCATCTGATGTTTCTTTGCCGTAAGGAATCACCGCTGTACTAACCCAATTCTTAGCAGCAGGTTTCTATCCATCCTTCCTTATCTTCACATTTTAAGTATCTTTTTATGAAGCCTTTAGGATAATTATTCAATTCAAGAGTAGATCAAACCAATTTTAGTTCCCTGCTGATTCCTTCCTCCTCAGTAACTAGACGTTTGGTTCAGTTAATCAGTTTCTTGATCACAGTTGCTTTGGTAGTAAAGGGGGTGTGCTGAATAGCAGTAGTCTAGGTATCTGTCCGAATTTGTCGGCTTTCTGAAAATGTCTATTTTAAATTTACCATTCGGACCAGATTGCCGAACGCTGGAAACGTTGGAATTATTCATTTCAATTTCGCTGAGATTTTACACATATAATTTTATAAATGTCTCCTTCTCACTCGGTGCTCAAATATTTTGCAACTATCCGGTCAAATCTTAATCACAGTTCATGTGAAAAATTTAATTAGATATGGAATGTTATCTTTTGAATGACTTCTTAGGTTATGTGAAGAAGTGAAACTTTAAGCGCCAGGACAAATAACCTCGAACGCACCAATCACGTGATATCAAGGCTTTTTTCCGCTTGATTCAAGTGAAATGTCGCCTTTTATGGAGTTATTTCAGAAATTTGGTGTAGACCAGGTTTTCCAGTACTGCTTAGATATATAGAATTGTTTGGAAAGGAGAGAATTTTGTTCCTGCAGACGTATCATGAGTGTAAAAAGGCTTCTGTAGATAGGTTGATGGATATGTTCACCGTTGTGGGTATTTGTTTGAGACAAGTTAGTTTGAGGGAAGGTGTAAGCTAATGATTGCACTATTTCGTGGGAACATTGTTTTGGTAGACCCCATTTATTATCACCTCAGATTTTTTAAATATTCTGAGTAAAACGGAAAATAGTCTCGTTTCAACCGTTCAGTGGGACCAGCACGTCAGAGAGATATTGTATCGTGGAAGATGAAGAGAGCTGCTATTTTATTGAATGGAGGCGTTATTGTACATATAAATGAAACAGTCCTAATACAGTGGGAATACATAGTGGTCGTGAAAAAGTATTATCACTCATCATCTATCGGGTACCAAACTAACTGTCAAAATCATTCAGGTACCGCATACACCAAACAGCAGAGGCTATCGTGATTCACCTGATATAACCGGTGCTCTGTATGCAGAAGAAACAGGTCCAACCACTGTTACTGCCTTGGCCTGCTGTAAAGTTTGCAAATTCATAAATACCTTATTACAACGGCCCCTTTTGTTATGGCCCTCTATCCTGTATGCATAAATTCCCCTACGCATTGTAATTACACTTGCATTCACTAACTAATCTTTCATTTTCTTATTTAAACGTAATAGTTAACTTACACACTGACACACATAAAGCGCACGTAAATTTCAACCCTGAAAAACCCTTTTTGTCTATCCCCCATCCTTGACATGATCATTCATCCATCTGAAGTTTTTAAATCAATATGAATGAACATTCAAGTGTTGATTTTCAAGGATTTCGTTGGTTATAGGATTTCATCATGAGCTGACATTGTTTAGAGAACCATTGGAAAACCTGCAGGGAGTACTGGACAGCTGTTTCGTCCTAGTTTGGGTCGCGCTATGTCGTGAATTGGCAGAAGTTAGAATTCATGGCCATAGGATCGGATCCCAGTGACTTAATGGTCTACGAGCTAGCTCGCCTTGTAACCAGAGGGTCCTGGGTTCGAACCCAGTTGTGGCGCGTGTGTACTGATGAAGAGTCCCAAACTAGGATGAAACAGCTGTCCAGTACTCCCTGCAGGTTTTCCAATGGTTCTCTAACCAATTTCAGCTCACGATGAAATCCTGTAACCAATATGAATGGAACTTAATATGAACATAACTCATGAGAATTTATTACTGTACATTCGTTGTCACTCATAACCATTTTCAATAGTTGGTTTGTAAGGATTAGATTTGTTTTTTGCAAGTTGATCACGAATTGATATCAGTTAGAGGACCATTAAAAACCACCAGGAGTGCTGTGAATCATTGGCAGTACGCACCCACCACAGGGTTTTGAACCCAGGTCCTTCCGGTAACAAAGAAAGCTAGCTCGTAGACCGTTCAGCCACTGGGACCGGATTCAGTGGCCAGCCCATGACATCTAACTTCTACCAATTCGTAATTTAGCTCGACCACCATCATAATCACTTACTTTCCAAGGCAAAGTTGAACTTTAAGCACCACCAACTACCAATCAGCGAATGACCTCGAAAGCACCAATCACATGAAGGAGGCACTTTTGTGTATGGAATACACATATTTATGAAAAAGATGTATAAAAACTGTAGAAAAGTGTTACAGAGGATACCTTCCTCTCTCATGTGATAAATGTAGCTCTCAGTTTTAGGTTGGAGTATCAACACAGAGTATAATTCCATTGCGAATAAAATTTATTTTGATGAAGTCTCATATAGTGTAACACAGTAATATTTATTGAGCAATAAACTGTGCTTGAAACGTGGTCATCAGTAAATGTTACTGTATAATATTGTGAGAATTTATCAAAATAGATTTACCCACAATGGAATTATACTTACTGCCACAGTGCACAAGTTCTATTCTCATATCAACAGAGTAATTTAACCACATTCTATGCATGTAATTATTTAGGTCTTCTAATAATTACAATGACCCTAATCTTTCCTGAACCTAACCCTAACGTGAAAATATGCCTAAACTAACTGTAATCTAACTGGAACTAGCGCTAATATCCCATTTAATAGGTTAACCTAACCCTAACTTGTCATTGGCCTAAACCGTAACTTAATCTTTCCCTAACCTAAGGTGAAACTTTCTGGAAATCCCATTTACAATAGCATAACACTTCGATGAGGATATTTTATTGATGATGACAAATTTATATGCCAGGTTTTGGTAACTTGCTCAGTGGGCGCTTCAAGGTCATTGGTGCGGTCGCACTCCATTGGTAGTTAGTGGTGCTTAATGTTTAACTTATCCCTATAATCCGTTAAAGCAATCTAGTTGCAAATAACTTTTAGAATTCTGATCTAAATGATTCCATGTTAATCTCTTTTTAAAAACCACTAATGCTGTCAGTCAATAGCAATCATTCTTTCATTATTATGAATGGATAAATAACTGTAGAACCTGATGATGAAGTTATCGAAAAGAAGAATATTATTTGTTCAAGAATCAATCTTTTGAAACTTTGAATGGGTATCTTTAATCCATTAAAATAAATTTTGGGCAATTCATTTGTACGGAGCCACTTTACGGAAAGGATTCATCAAAAGAATATCAGACAAAAAGTCAAATCATTCAATACCCATTATGCCAATGGTTGGAGAAACGAGGAACTATAATACACACAGATGGATGGGAAGGAAATAACTGATTGTCTTTCCTGGGATATATATTCACCAGAGAGTAAACGACACTAGTGATTTTCTGGATCCTGTGCTTTATTCATCTATTAGCACATTGCTAATAATGGTGTAATCGCGTATTACAGGATTCATCGTGACGTGACATTACTTAGAGAACCCCTGAGAAACCAGACTGTACTGAATAGCTGTATTGTCTTAAAATCAGACCTGCTAGCGGCACACGCCTACCGGGATTCAAACCCAGAACGCTTCAGTCACAAGGGGAGCTTGTAGGCTACTCAGCCACTAGGACGGAATGCAACGGCCCATGAATTTCAACTTATGCCAAAACCAGAAGGTTCTGGTTTCGAATCCTATTGGATGCGTAATTTTGAAGAGTCCTAAGCTGAGACGAAACAACTTCCCAGTAATCCCTGATTTTCTATTGGCTCCCTAGCTGTTACCAACTCTTGATCAACCCTGAAACTTGTAATTATCTCGTTAAGCCTTTTGTTATTTTCTTCCTATGTTCGTAGGTCTCTCTGTCTGGTCATGTGTGTTCACAGTAACAAAGTGTTTCTGCAACATAACAACAACATTAACTGAAATACACACAATGAAGAACTTACTTCTAATAATTTATTCATTGACTCAGGTAATTCTTCACCAAATTCTTTTAATAAAGCTACAGTCTCTCTTAATGGTTCAAAACCAGCATCTGTTGCCTCTTCAGCTTCACGTATTAACTTTAAGCGCTCTAGTATTGTGACTAATTTGTTATATTCCACTGATTCGATATCAGTTGTAGGAATTTCTAAATCTGCTTGACTATTCTTAACAAATTGTTGTAAATTCTCAAGAGTAGTTGTAACATGACTAAGAAGATATTGTTTAAATTTATCACTCCATTGTCTAATCACTGATAATAGGGATTGTTTAAATGGTTTCAAATTAGCCTTTAACCATGAATCAAATAATTTTGAATCATCTATCCGTTCAACTTCTTCAAAAACACGATCATATTTAATAATTTGTTCACGAAATTGATCTAGCGTTGGCGGATTTTCATGCGCTTCAATTTCCCCTGTGGGACCGATATCATCTTTAGTTAATAGACGACCATAACGACAAAATTGTTTAATAAATTCTGTACGATCTTCAGTCCAATAAAAGGAATAATTACTCTCCAGTTGTTGTTGATAATCCATTGCAGCGTACATAGCTGATCGTATATGATCAGTGATTGTTTTTATGAGATCAGTAACTTCTGGTGTCAACAGAACTTGTTGAGAGAATCCTGTGAGTGACTTGACTTTTTCATAGGAATCCATATCAGTTGCATCTTGTCCTGGCAGTGATGTTTTGTGTTTTACTTTTTGTTCAACTTCAGATTCTTGAACCGTTAATTTCTCCTCTGAAATTGGTGGCGCTGATGCTTGTGGTTCTGATTCCACTGCTGTTTCTGGTACTTCAGAAGGTTCTGTCGCCAACGGTGGTACAGTTTCAGAAGGAGCTGTTTCATTCACTGTTTCCATTGTTTGTGATGGTAGTCCACCTTCCACCTGACCTCCTGGTTGACTTGTTGTCGGTGTTGGTGAATTGCTTACAGTCGGAGTTATATCCTGAGGATTAATTAACGATGAGATTAAACGTGATTGGTCAGTGATGTCTTGTATTAAATTGTTGAATATTTCTAGAAGATTTACAACCTGTGATTCTTGTACATCAGGGGAATAGGCAAGACGATCAACCTGGAAAATTCAACACAGAAGAAAATCAGTTAGATTTAATTCACACTTGAAAGTTAATCTAGTACTTACTAGTGACTTACGACAGGACGAAGTCGCTCGAAGTTCCAGTGTGAAACCGTGTGAGCTCAAATACTCGCCAGGGATGACACTGGCTACCAGTGGCTTTACAGATATCTCAAACTGAGAGAAGAGAGACCTGATGAACCATAAGATGCCTTCCAAGTCGATGAGTTTGGTAAACTATCGTATCTTCTCAGCTGAAGGTTCTGCGTTCGATTCTCACTCAGGTCACGGATGTGAAACACTGAAGAATCCCAAATGAGGGTGAAATAACTCTCCAACACTCCCCGATTTTATTGACTCATTGCTACAGCTGCACACTGCACAACCCTGAAACAACTACTAACCACTTAAGCCGATAAGTCACTTTAAGGCTTTTATGACCGTCCCACAAATTTCACAGTTGATCGATCTGAACGCAAGAAACCGATCTTTGCGTCCTACTGCATATCTGATCCAAACTTCCTTGAGACACATACAGTCACGAAGCGCCTTAAACACAACAAAAGGATGGTCATTCGTCGTAAGATCTATGTGGTTCCCACTCAACAGTGATAAAATCAAATACTCAGAATTACCTCAAGAGTGCCCCATATAGGGTAGCTCGGTGTACACGTCTTTCTTAGAGGCGAGTTGTAGAGTGGGTCTTGGTGTTCTGACTACTTTATATCTCCTGATGAACTTGTCTGGATAATTGTTATCAACCAGAGTTTGTGTCAGCTTTCTTTCTTCTTCATCAAGTGTGTCTTCAGTTCACTTTCCTGAGGCTTTTTTGTACCGAACAGGCCAGGTAGAAACTGTGGTAATTAAGATACTGTCCTGCCCAGGTAGATTTTCTATAAATAGATCTTTTTATTGACCCATCAAGCTGTCGACTAAGCAGTATGTCTAGGAAAGATAAACAATTATCTTCTTCTTCTACAGATGTAAGTGATATGCTATTCTGAACTTCATTCATTCGATTTAAAATTTAGGTGACAGAACAAGGCTTATCACTGATGACTACGATATCATCTACCTACCTTCTATAAAGTGGCACATTTTCGATTAAATCCTCCGATAAATTCTCAATGTGCGACATAAAAATATTGCAATAAAAATATCTGCTAAAAGGGGTCCTAACGGACTGCCCATAGCAACACCATCAACTTGGCGGAAACAGTCGCCTTCAAATGTAAACCTAACATTGTTAGTACATAGAAGTAATAAATCGCTTAAATAAGATATAGGGAACAGGATGAAAAAGCTGTTTGTGGAAATGTAATCACACCAAAAATGTCAACTGTTTTGATCAAAGGCACATTAGTGAATAACGACAAATCAAGTCTTCTTATTCTTTGAATGTACGTGTGGACACACATACTAATGGAGGACTCATCGATCTCTGCAAGTAAGGGCTTCACAGCATATTCCTAAATGCCTCCAGAAGCAAAAAGAAGCACCAAAACCCACTAATGGTACGAACAGGAGACCTAGCGCTTCTATCGCGAAACATATTATAGAGACAGGACATAAAAGTGATGTTAACAGATCTTTTAAACCTATCTGTAAAACGTGTTTGGGGCGTATCCTAAAGTTTGTGGAAGCCCTAGCAATTAGAAAGTGCAAGTCACCTTTATGCGTTCAAAGCAACAATTCGTCATCACATTAAACCTTCTATGGTAAATTTTGTTTTGATACCAGCCAGGGTAGATGTACTATTACCTCTGCTATTTGGTTTAGTGGTCTTCATTGTTATTTTGACCTTGAATATGTCCTTTCAACTTGACTTAAGTCTATTTTCTCACATTTGATATGTCCATGTATGGGATCCGATTGTCTGAAATGTGTTTTGCGCAAATACAACACTACACAATTCAGACAAATTGCATCTTCTTTTTGCATTATCTAAATTCATAAAGGGAACTAATTGTTTTAAATAATTACAAAGTTAGTTTTAAATTCTAAGATCACTAAGAAGGGATTTTCCTAACAATTACTCTCTTACACAGAACTTGCAACATGAGGCCACTTTGTGTTTTAAAGACACAACAGTCGCTCGATGTCAAACAATAATTACTATGAATCTTCGCCATGCATATCACAGACTAGACAGCCTTTTTTTAAATATTTACTGGTTAGGAAAGACGAGGAAGGAGACATTTTTTAAGAGAGAGAATCTTTAGTCATCTCAATCCTGTTTGACAGTTACCTGTGCTGCTATTTGATCTGAAATCACATTCGTATTATTCCTGGAATTTTGAGTTAGATATCTAGTTAGCATGATGCAATACAGAATTGAATTAACTCAGTCAACAAATTTCTCTAATCTCACCATTTGACTCCTTTCTTTGACTGAGGACTTTACTAAGCTAGAAACTATGTGGTTTTCTATCATTTCAATGTTAGCTTATGTTCACTTACTCTAGAAGCGGAGATATGAGAGTAGAGTAACTACAGGAATAAAACAAGGCTACCTATTGTTACCAGCGATATTCTTCTTAACTGTGGTGGACTGGGTTATGCATCATACTGGAGGGAGGGGGGAAGTGAGAAGACGGAAGTATCTTGGGCAGACCAAAAAAAGACTCTAGAAGATCTGGATTTTGCAGATGATTTATGCCTAATGTCACACAAACTGGAAGACTTGCAGGCAAAAGCCAACAAACTAGCTGAAGAAGTAGTTAGCGAAGACAGGACAGATTACAGGTTAGCATAGAGAAGTTGCCTTCGCTCAATACCACTCAAGATCAGATGGCTGGCCAGAAAAGATCAGAAACAGGGATCTCTGGCATTGAGCGAACCAACACAGCAGGAACCGATTGTGAAACAAATAGGCAGGAAGAAATGGTGATGGATTAGCCATACGCTGAGGAAACCATCAATTGACATCACTAGACAAGCCATCGGTCGAGTAGAACCTGAAAGGGAAGCGGAGAGTTGGTCGTCAATGGTGGGGTGACTTGGAGGAGGTCATGTGAAGAGGAGATGAAAATATGTGGGCAGACTTGAAAAGGGGTGAAAAGGTTGGCAGAGAACCGAAGGCAATGGAGATGCGCAGCAGAAGCCCTATGTTCCTCTAGGGATTAAAGGATATAATAATAATAATAGTGATGAAGATAATCAGCTAACCAACCAACAGCAACAACAACCAGCAGCAATCACCATCAATGGGAAAGATTCGACAGAGGTTTTTTTTTTTTTTTTTTTTTTTTTTTTTTTTTCAACCATAGCTGGCGGAGCAGACGACGATTTCAAAGCCAGCCAGCCAGAATCGTAAAGGCAAGATACGCCTTCGTCAACCTGAAACTACTTTGGAAATCTTCTGCACTCTGCCTCAGCATAAAGAACTAGATACATCTTTTCAAGACAGATGTAAAGTCAGTCAGTCATTCAGTTCTTCTATATAGATGAGAAACTTGCACTCCATGTGAGTCACGAAAAGCATATCCAGCAAGTTGCAGACATAGCTGCCTTAGCTGGCCACATATTGAATATCACTTGGTCAGCCAGAATAAAATTAGCAAACAAGAAACTACGGGAACAAACCAACCAAGAATCCACTCTGGTCAAGTATCATTCCGATGGATTCGAGATGGATTCAGCACACACTAAGGGGACCATTGAATGACATCGCACGCCATGGTGATCATTCGAGTGTAACCCGGATGGGAACCGAAGAGTGGGGCATCCGAGTGTAACGTTATGGAGATCATGTGAGTTGGTGGAGATGAGAGATTATGAGCGATCATGAGCCCAGCTAAAAGGGACAACAGAAAATTGAACAAAGTGGAGATGGGTTGTTGAAGCCGTATGTTCCACTGGGAACCCATGGGAACAACAAAGGTACAGTTGTGGTAGAGTATAACCCTATTGGGGAATCATTTTAACATTGAAGTAATAATAACCTGTACACCAATAACATGTGCGTCGGCAGTCCAGCTTGCCAACCGCGCATGCGGTCACGGTTCGACTCCCGGCCAAGGCAGACTCTTGAACCCGGCTTAGTTAGTAGTAGGACCATACTAGAGGGAAGATTGGGCTTCAGGTTACTATTTACCCTAAAATTCCTGTAAATGAACAGAAAGTTACGCGTGGTTTGGAAGAAGTTTTATTCATGTTAACATTCATCTGCATATTGCAACTAGAGAATTTCGAGTTCACTCACAGGTTGTCACACGTACTCATATCTCTGTAATTCAGTCTTTGCCAAAGTTAGAGACATAATCAAACGTTTTGGGAAATGTAACTTGGGACTGATTTCTTCCTATCCAGATACATCGTAAGACGTTAGTCAGTTCAGAACACACACTTAGAAACTAATTAACAAATTGTAGCAAATGATTCACAGAAAGCAGTCTTCAGTATTGTACGTCATTGGTTCAATAGTAGAATTGTGTTCCACTACACAGGTGGCCCGGATTCGACTCACAAGCGACACAATCCTAAACTTTGCTTAGCCAATAGTAAATACAATCATGGGTTTGAATCCAAGTGAGTGCATACTGACGACAAGTTCCAAAGTGGAACAAAACTGTTGTCCAGTACTCACAGCTTATTTTCCATAGCTCTCTAACTTACACAGATCTATCATCAAACGATAAAAAGAGGTTGTGCCTGATACTAGCAACCCCATCCCGCCAAAAGGCATAATCGCTACTGAAACCTAAAAGCTCAAACTTGAAACCTTATTTCCTTATAGGAAAGCCTCCAGTGTCGTTAACAGTATTAAAAGATACTGGTACAAAATTGTTAATTGTTGAGAATATCAAAAATAAATTCTGTGGAAAAGAAACAGTTAAACAGTCTCAGACGAAAATCCCCCATCAAAATGCAGCGGAATGCTGAATGGAATTCACACATAGCAAATCGACTCCCTGTATTATCAATTCTTCTTCCAAGTAGCTAGTCAGAATTCGCTTGTACTGAGCGAATTCGACCCTGTGAGCTGATAAACCCAGAGTATAACGAGCAAAATGACCATCTGATGTGGTTAGCCAGAAAAACACTACTCGTTAATTTCAGTGAGTGTCACTCAACTACTTATATCACACAATCAGTAGTATATAGTACCATAAATAAATGTATGTAACTTACTGCTAAATCTAATTTTGTCTCCATAATTGGTAATTCCACTTTCATTTTTTCTGTATGCGTTGATAAATACATCAGGCTACAACAGACTGTATCAATCAAGCCTTCAATAATGACATATTCAGCTGATTCCAAATATGCATTCCAATCAGGACTTGATGGATTTGCACGGTATAATTCTTGATTTCGCTAAAAAAAAGAAAAGTAACATTTAAATAAAAGAATACATGAAATAATGGCGGATTTCATTATCGACCCGGGGGGGGGGAGTTAGGCAACTATTTAAAAATGACAACAATAATGACAATTTTCAACTCCAGAGCTTGGAATGGCAGTCAGCTATCTATCTAAACCTCATCGACTTTGAAAAGTCCTTCAGCAGACAGCGTCGATCGAGAGGTGATTCGGAAACTACCTCGCTATTACAGGGTGCCACTAACAATTATACATCTCATCCAGCAGTTGTACGACAACGCTGCATGCCAAGTAATCCACAACAAGAAACTTACGGAATCCTTCGAAGAAGTGAAGACGGGAGTAAGACGAGCTGGCTGCCCACTACTATCTCCAATGATTTTTCTGATTGCGGTAAACTGGATAATGCGACAGACAGCGGGTAATGAGGAAACAGGCATAAAATGGACTCGCACAAAAAACTTGGAGGATTTGGACTTCGCCGATGATATATGTCTGATTTCCCACAAACTGGAAGATATGCAAGTGGAAAGCAACAAATTGGGATAAAAGAAGCATACAGAGAAGATGGGACTTCAGGTGAACATAGAGAAAAAAGAGGTGACGAAGATTCCTGACCAACACCAACAGCAGCAACAACGACAACAGACAACAATCAGCCAGCATGAATGGGAGGAATTTGAAAGAAACAACCTCCTTTACCTACTCACCTGGGAGGCATCGTTTCAACTACAGACGGACGGAACTGACGAGGATATCAAAGTGAGGATCGGGAAGGCAAGGAATGCCTTCATTTCTCTCAAGTCTGTGTAGAGGGGATCAACAGCACTCAGCATAAAAAGCAAAATCCGGATTTTCAACTCCACTATGAAGTCAGTGCTACTTACTATATGGATCATAGGCTTGGCGAGTCACGAAGGGCACGTCGAACAAACTAGAGACCTTCATCAACATCTGCCTTCGCTCAATACTCAAGATGAGATGGCAAGCCAGAAACGATGAGCGACAGGGATCTCTGGGAGAGAACCAACCAGGAACCAATTGTGCAACAAATATGCAGGAAGAAATGGAGGTAGATTGGTGGTCATACTCTAAGAAAACTATCAAGTGCTGTCACTGGACAAGCTGTCGGGTGGAACCCGAATGAGAAGCGACGAGTTGGTGGTCAGTGCGAGGGTGACACGGAGGAGGTCATGTGAAGAGTAAGTGAAAGCATGCGGGCAGATGTGGAGCCAGGTGGAAACGTTGTTAGAGAACCGAACGTAATGGAGACGCGCGGCTGAAGCCGTATGTCCCTCTAGGAATTAAAGGAATTTATAATAATGCTTTATTTCCAAACAGTACTCATGTGATACAAATAGGAAAGGATAAAAGAGTCAATCATTTTGCTAATAGCATAGTGAATTGTAGGTTTCCCGCTTAACGTTACCCCTATATCTCACAGTATGCTGACCGAATAGGGTATCGTTGAGTATCTTTTTATTTAGTTGTACGAGTGAGCAAATAATCTTAAATAATGACTTCTAGGGTTCTATCTGATAAGACGTAAGGCAGGGAAAGTTACGAATAGAAACGATGTTGAGAGTTAGACAATATGGATTTCGACTATTTCTCGCAGTAGTAACTAGCTGACTAAATGGTATACCATTAGCCCTACTGACAACCTTTAATACTCTTCCCAGTATGACAATAGCCTTTCTTGAGTTGACCAGGAATGACTAACAGAGAGCGGTAAAATACAATAGGTAAGATGCAAGAATCAATAAATTTTAGAAGTGAGACGGGGGGGTTGAATGATTCCTGATTGTTTTAACTTCTTAATGCAGAAGGTGGTTAGATAGAAGATTTTTTAAGAAATCAAAAAGATATAGGACGATCGATCAGGAAAGGTGAGAGGATAGAACCAATCCTACTTCGGAAATCTTTAGTAATAAACAACCTTGATCCAAAAATACCAGTTATTCTATCGATCTTCCCCAGCATTCGCATGTTTTAGTAACTCTAATCAATCTCTTATTCATATACAGTAATCAAACATTTGATCTGAAGTTTGTCAAATCAATCTAACCTTCATTGATCAATTGGTTTATCTGTGTGGATTGAAGCACATGGTAGACAATTGGATTTTCAAAGAACGAGAGCTCAGCTGAAGTATTGTGGTGTGGTGTGATTATGTATCTCTATAATCTCTTCATATCATCAATAATAGATATACCCTTAGGCAGCCGGAAGTGTTATACTCTCCTTTCAATAGTTGAGACGATGTCGAGAACAGCCTGGCCACGAAGTTAGGTTTGACAGGCTAAAGAATCAACAGATAGTGTGGTTAAAGTTCAGGTCTAGCAGGCTGATTAAGTCACTGGGCTACCGGAACTTCTATTCATTAAAATGCTGTTTAAACTCTTTTGCATTTCTTATTGTTTCAACCATACAGTTATGTCAAATAACCACCAGATAAAGGCAACTAAACGCTATGGAATTCTTCAACAAAATGAAGAAAACACTTACAGTTCTTAGTGAGCTCCTTTTTACTAACTAAAATAATTTGGTTATTGAATTGAATTCTTGATTTTCCCGTTGATTGATTGGACCGAAGCGCTCCGTCTCAGGTTGACATGTCGACTTCTTGTGCAGATGCTTCGACGATGTCCGGGCATTTAGTTAGGATACAATTGTTGGATGGTGGCTAGCAGTGGAATCCAAGATGCGCATTTCGTCCTATTTGGGACTCGTCAGCTGGATGTACCTGCATTTCTCAGTGAGTGATGATGTTCCCACCGAGGCTCGAACACAGTACCCATAGTTTCAAACGCCAAAGCGTTATCCACTAGACCACTTGGGCCACGAGAGCCACCTCTTGTGCAACGGGTCAAATTAATTATTGAATTGAATTCTTGATTTTCCCGTCAACCTGAGACCGAGCACTTCGGTCCAATCAATCGACGGGAAATCAAGAATTCAATTCAATAATTAATTTGACCCGTTGCACAAGAGGTGGCTCTCGTGGCCCAAGTGGTCTAGTGGATAACACTTTGGCGTTTGAAACTATGGGTACTGTGTTCGAGCCTCGGTGGGAACATCATCACTCACTGAGAAATGCAGGTACATCCAGCTGACGAGTCCCAAATAGGACGAAATGCGCATCTTGGATTCCACTGCTAGCCACCATCCACCAATTGTATACTAAAATAATTTGGATTGTTTTACAAATTAAGGAGAATGTCTAAATTAAATAGGAATATTAGGCCGACAATATGACAATAAGAAGACGTGGACATCGTGGCTAATTTATGTCCAATGTCATGGAAACTCTAAAACTAACAGTTTAACACAAAAGCTTGTGAAGAAATAATTTCGAGTGAAAATACATGGAAAAGAGAGATGATGAAGACATCTTACTGACAACAAGAACAAGCACCAGTCAACTCCTGAAATCTAAAGAGAGTCATCTCTTCCTCCTACTTAGTGAGAATTGTCTCAACTATAGGCTGCACAGGTAATGATGTCAAAGTTAGGATCAACTGAGCAAGACAAGATTTCATAACTCCGAAATCAATATCGAAATGTACTACATTCAGTGTAGGAGAAAAGGGCAGAGTTAAACTTTAAGCACCACTAACTACCAATCAGCGGTGGTTGTGTTCTCTGAGTTGGATAGTTAATTTCCTAAGCTTTGATCGCCCCTTACTAGGCGACATCTTCAGCGGATACTTCTATTTGAATTGAAGTGAGCTTCTGGATTTCTCCACGAGTTTATTAGTCAGTCATCTCTCCTGGTGGGTGACCTTAAACGTGACTCTCCGGACGTTTTTGTGTGTTTTCACACTTTGGTCTAGGTTACTTGTATTGGAACTGATTGTTGCTTTGACTTGAACTTTGACCCTTTGTGTGTGAGTGTGTGTGAGGTTTCTTTCTTATCGGTTGATAAATTTTGTCTATCTCGATGTGTCTATTGATTGGTGATTCACTTGAATACCAGGCTGGCTTCTAAGAATTCTCTAGCATTCCTGTTGTTTCCTCTGTCTAATATTTGAACGTTGGTTGTCCCAGTCGAATTGATGTCCATGGTTGTCTGTGTGTAGTGAGTTATATGAGGGAGTGGATATGATGTCTTTTGACGGCTAGCTTATGTTCGTGGATACACAGACGAAGGGGACGTCCACTTTGGCTAATGTAGTGTTTTTCGCAGTTGTTACAATTTATTTTGTAGATGACACTGGTTTTATCTTCTTTCGCTGTTGAGTCTTTTGGTTAACATAGAATTGAGTGAAGTGATTTTGTTGGTTTGTGTACTACGTCAATTCCTCGTCAAGGTTTGAAGAGTCTTGTAGTGATTTCTGAGATATCCTGTATATATGGTAAGGCGATTTTCTGTGTCATTTCTCTGAGAATTCTTAGAAGTTTGGCATTCCATTGAATCATCAATCAATAGACACATTGAGATAGACAAAATTTATCAACCGATAAGAAAGAAACCTCACACACACTCACACACAAAGGGTCAAAGTTCAAGTCAAAGCAACAATCAGTTCCAATACAAGTAACCTAGACCAAAGTGTGAAAACACACAAAAACGTCCGGAGAGTCACGTTTAAGGTCACCCACCAGGAGAGATGACTGACTAATAAACTCGTGGAGAAATCCAGAAGCTCACTTCAATTCAAATAGAAGTATCCGCTGAAGATGTCGCCTAGTAAGGGGCGATCAAAGCTTAGGAAATTAACTATCCAACTCAGAGTACACAACCACATCAATATATATATATATATAGTATCATGTTACCTACCTTAATTAATTCATGTATTTTCTTACCAACCACATCAACTTCTTTAAATCTAGCATTTCTTATAGTAATACGATCTTCCAAGGGGAGATAACAATCGTATTTACGTTCTTTTCCTTGAAATAGGGGTATTTTACGCCATTGTGACATTAGCTGTTCAATATTTTTGAAATTCTCCTCTGCTTCTATCACTCTTGATTGAAGTGCACTAATTATATTCAAGGAGTTATCAATAAATTCTGTATTCACTATATTATTATAAAATCATAGAAAGGGGAAAAATAATAATGATGATGATGATAATGGCAAGGAAATCAATAAAGATAGAGGGATTATTTTTGGGTAATAGGCAAGAAATCATAAAAGACTATTCTGACGATCAGACAGATAGCCGACAGGAAAGGATTAACCATATTTGGCCTGTACAAAAAAACTGACTGACAACCTGTCACCCAGTGAAAATGAAAAAGGAAATCAAGACGAACCGGACGAACCAGTTGAATAGAGGACATTGCCTGATGAACTTTTTTTAAGTATGCGGACGATCTAACTATTTCAATGTTTGTTAACTGCAAGCTAGACTCTACTAAGATGAACAGCTTTCTATCAGGAGTCAGCAAATGGTCTTCTTCTTCTAATGGCCTTAAACTAAATCCTTCCAAAAGTCAGACTGTTAATTTCAATTTCCGATGTAAACGAAAGTTAAATGAAGCCATTGGTTCCTATGACCCTTGCAAAATTGATGACATTGATATAGAAATCAAGCCTGAAGTTAAGTATCTTGGATTATTTCTTTATACTGACCTATCCTGGTCTTCTCATGTTTTAGCGATTTCTAAAAGAATATTTCGTCTGACTTTTTACATTAAGAAGTTGAGGCACTCGGCTATAACTCAAGCCCTCCTCTTACAGTTCGTCAAATCGTGCATCTTACCTATTCGTCTTTATTGTTCACCCTTACTTATTCTTTCTTGGATTGCGTAAAAAAAGACTATGTCATACTTCATAGAACTCTGAAGACTGACTGTCAGTAGGGCGAGTGGTATCCCATTGGGCCATATCGTTGACACTGTCATTGTTGATAGGCACTTGATGTCATGCAACAAATTTGCTAAAGGAATTTTGTCAGACTGTAAGCATCCACCACAGCACCCGCAGCTCCAACCCTGTGTCTCTTCTTCAGGTGAAACAAGAAGTCTTTTCAGAAGACTTTATGCACGTACGTCCAAGTATAAAAATTCCACTATACCATATTTAGCCCCTACTTTATGTGATGAAAATAGTGTCAGTCATGAACCAACTAACCTTCTTTGCACTACTAAATAAACCATTTCCTCCTCCACCCTTACAACATCAAACTGTATTGTTATTGTATTTCTTATATTTAGTATCCTCTCAAATTTTTGTTTTTATTTATTTATTTTTCATAAGTGTGAACATCATTTAAGCTGTATTAATAACTGTTCATTTTGTATTTCCCCTCACCATGCTGCTATATCAACAGAACATCCGATTCAATAATCTGTAACCTGCTAAAATTTCCAAACTGAATCGGCAATACTGTTTGAAACAAACTCGCTGTTATTATTATTAATATTTAATGATCACAATTCGTGCTTCGAATATTTTCGACCTTATATCGTAAATGTGGACAAATTCCTCTGGTTACTTTTGTTTTAATTTTTAGTTTTATTTATATTTTAAGTAAATCAGATGCAAGGTGTTGTGACGAGTGCTGAGAATTCCATTCTGTATTATAAGTGCTGTTTTTGGAATAAAGTAAATTATTATTATATTACCAACTAGGTCAGCCCTCGGGTGGAACTCATATGGGAAGCAATGAGTTGGGTACGCGTCAGAAAGTGATGTGGAATAGATCACTTGAGAAAGAAGAGAAAGGAGGGCTTATGTGATGGTATCTCATGGATTTCCGTATTTGAAATTGTTACTGGGGTCACTAGATTCTATTGATATAAGAATAAAACTTGTGCACTGTGGTAGAGTATAATGATATCAAGGTGATATGATTATGAGCAATAAATTGTGCTCGAAACGTGGTCATCAGTAAACATTACTGTATAACACTGTGAGACTTTATCAAAACAAAAATTTACCCATAATGGAATCATTAAATTCTAGCCCATTAATGTATCTGTTCCCTAGTCTAACTGTAATATATTCTCTGCACTGGTAAAGTGTCAATGTTTTCAATGTTCCAACAAACGGATGTTACTTCTCGGCGAATTCCACATCAGGGTATATCAGTTTTCAAACTTACCAACTGCATAAAGAATCGTTAATTACTGCAAGCATCTCACTGGACTCTAGTTAGTAACTAGAGTAACCTGTCTAGTTCTTTGTTTGGTACAGACTGAATTTTGTCATCAGTCAAGTTTCCTATGTAAACCAACCAACTATGATAGGTGGCTCGCTGTCATCGTGCACTTTGAATTGTTGGTATTAAATGGTTGGATGCAATCGGCAGGAAGCTTTGGACCTAGGCTTTTTTCTGGTTGGCATTCATCAGTCAGCAAGGTGTGACCATATTGCAAATCTAACAAATATAATTCAGTCTGCATTAATCAAAGGAGCAGATAGATAACACCAGCTACTAACTAGAATTCAATCATAAACTTGAAGCAATTGATGATTCTTCATGCAGTCGTAACTTGTTTCAACTAAGCCTAACATCTATTCTAGGACCTCTGTTGGCCGACTGTTTTATGATCAGCCTAGTAGGCAATTTCTTATCACCAACAATCGAAGAGAATCAAGATATTGGAAACCTACTCCATACCAGCAATAATACCCATTCAAACATCGACATTACTCTATAAGTTAAATCTAACTCAATGTTCCATTTCCTCGATGTTCAACTGAAAAGAAATGCTGATGACTCTCTGAGTAGATCCGTATACCAAAAGCCCACACCGAATTGACAGTTTATCAATTTTAGAGTTGTATTTCTCTGAGCAGAATGAGAACCCTCATCTATTCTCTCCCCTCGAGGATCCGAAAAGTATGCATCATGGAATCTATTGACTGAGAACTGAGAAATTTCCGAGGAATCTTGATAGGAAATAGTTTTCCATCTTCAGATATATAGATAAGGATCTGAAATCAAAGAAAACGTCTGATAAGTTCTAAGCCGATCCCAAAAAGATGCTGTTGATTAACCTCGGATTTAAAAGTGACACTGAGGCAGAAATTCTCCACAAACCGATTTCGAAACCTCTCAGTGAAACTTACTTCGCCAACAGCCTACGACTGGCATTTTCTTGAATGAAAATATTCCCTCAGCAAGTGAAAGGCAAGTTGTCCTATTAGGCCACATTAACATGCCTATACCAGTCCACTTGTTATTGTGGAAGTGAGTACATTGATTGGTTTTACTATGTGTCCGCTTGTAAAAGTACTCGGAACGCAAGTGTGTACATAGTTCTATAACTGAACATCTGATAAACCCAAGGCATTCAGCCTTATATGAGTAATCTTTCAAAGCCAGGATCCGATCAAACCACTCAACGGAAGTGAAGTCAAGGCATCTGACTGAGCATAGCTGAGGCACTAGCAATCCAGAAGTTCAAGACTACGCTATGTATAAAAAAGAAATACGTCCAAATTTTGCCTCTACTATGGCTAACATATGCAGTTAGTTCCCCGAATATCGATTATCTTGTAACCTCTCTTATCCAATCTTGCTGTTTATTTCTGTTATTTCTACGACTTTTAATTCCTATTTGTACTACTATACTTTTATCTGAACTTCCCATCTTATTTGTTTTAACTACGTTTTTAACCCCTTTTCGCTACCCTATTAATAATAATAATAATTTACTTTACTCCAAAGCAGTACTTGTGATACAGAATGGAATTCTCAGCATTTTGCCACAATATTGCATTGAGTTAGTACATTAACAATAAATAAAATTCTACATAGATTATGGGTAATATCAGTTAGTTTTGACAACAACATATCGGTAGCATGTCGGTAGCAAAGCCAAAATTGAACAAAGTGTTTGAAGGTGTTAGAAAAGTAGATACTACTAGCATATTTACTGGCGTAAGCAATAGCAAAATGGTCGAGGTATACAGAACGAAGAAGAATATTGTTAAAATAGACTTTGTAAGGAAGAGAGAAACAGAAATATTTGTGGAAATTTCTCACCCATTTACTATAAATACACAAACGTACACAGGATTTCACCATAAGCCGACATCAGTTAGGATGCGGACTGATGAAGAGTTCCAAAGTAGGACGAAACAGCTGTCCAGTACTCCCAGGTTTTCCAGTGGTTCTCTAACTGATTTCGACTCATGGTGAAATCCTCCATACAATCAAACAAAGTCCCTACAAAACCAATACTTGAAAATGTACAACCTAGTTGGTGACTTCGTCGAAGGGAGAATTTTCTTCACTGCAACTGTTTATGGTTCATAATCATATCAAGGTACTCACATGACTTCCTAACTTCATTTATATAGTTCCATCACTTTTCACTTGATTTTCGCTTGATTTGATTGGTAGTAATATTTTCCATATTTCAGGTATGAGTCATGTGCTCGATACGTCATCAGTAAACATTACTGTATAACACTGTGAGACTTTATTAAAACAAAATTTACCCATAATGGAATTACACTCTACCACAGTGCACAAGTTTTATTCTTATATCAATGTTTATGGGTTTTCTTTTAATTTTTCTTTTTTTTTCCTTCACGTTCTCAGTGGAATTTTCCACATAGGGCTCCAAGCTAGAGGCTTGAAGTTTCTGTAGCAGTGATTCTAATTTTTACAGGATGGGGTTGCTAGCTTCATGCCCAACCTGTCCTCTTTACCAGCATTATCTCTGGCTTAGCGAGGTAAAGGAGTGCGTCTGTGGCTGGGGATCGAACCCCGGACCATGTGCATGGTCGGCGAGCGTCCTAACCGCTATGCCACCGACGCATGATATAACATATTTATTCCAGTTTATTCGATTCCCAGTGGACACACTGGTAAAAGTCGCCTAGCCAGTAATAACTCCTGAAAAGAGGAAATTTTATTTGCGATCCAGACTAGGCTACTCCTCTCTTCATAAAAACAATATCGCCGCATGTTTGAAACTTCAGTGTATGAAATGTGAAGTCCTATGTCCACCCCCCCCCATCCAGAAAGCAGAGAATCGAGAGAGAAACTAAAACGCTTAACTTACCATTCTCCCATGTCATTGTGCTCAATGCTGGTGACAATGTTTCATTGAATGTGTCCACTTCATCTGAGATTAAAGCATATTCAACCGGTGTTGTCTGTTGTTTAATTGAATTATAAGCATATTGTATTTGAGCTAACTTAAGCCTAGATTCCCGCAGAGATTCAGTTTTTTCATACATTTCTAATGTTGAATGAGGTAGACGGCTTTTTAACTTTTCGGGTAATTCGTAAACGATACTTTCAGGGGATATTTCGCCACATTTCGATTCACCGCTAAGCATTAGAAAGTAGTGAACTTCTCGTAAGACTTCAACTAATTGATTATCAAAGTTAACCTCGATTAGCAGTGAATTATTTGGATCACGACGTAATAAGGGTAATTTTAAATTGATATTACATTTCTCTGGAGCTGATTGACAAAATTCTTCTAAATGTTTATTTCGAAAACTGTTATGTATATATTGGACAAAAAACAAAAAAAATAAAGAATAAAACGTGAAGTATTCATTGCAATATAAAATCACTAAACTAATTAGATTTTATTTTGAGTCCGTCTTAGTTCCGATTGGAATATGGGGCTTTAACAGCACATTCCATACTTCATCCTATTCCCTGCCACCACCATTTTGAGTTGTTTCCACAACTCCACATAAGTTTTTATGCCTTCCATGTCAACCTCGGGCCCACTTCCTTTGGATTCCACTCTATGGACTGTAGTTTGATGTCGGTCAGTGGTCTTTTGCCGTGTATCTGACTCATTCCCATTTTCCTAAGCATACTTATTGGACGAAAGATTCTTGGCCAATTGTTTTTGGCCTGCCATTTGATATTTATTTTAGAATGTTCGTTGGTTAGTTGGAAAAAGTCGATAGGAAGTCCTATCTGATCCAGTTTTAGTGCTTGCAAGCTTGTTGTTTTAACTGTTATGACGTCACAATAAGATTGAGATTGAACTAGCGACGCCGAGTTGGATACAGAGGCGCTTGACCAACTTAGCATTATTACACGACAATTGCCTATTTTAACCACATTCTATGCATGTAATTATTTAGGTCTTCTAATAATTACAATGACCCTAATCTTTCCTGAACCTAACCCTAGCGTGAAAATATGCCTAAACTAACTGTAATCTAACTGGAACTAGCGCTAATATCACATTTAACAGGTTAACCTAACCCTAACTTGTCCTTGGATTAAAGCGTAACTTAATCTTTCAAAAACCTAAGCTAGAACCTGCCAGATATCCCACTTAACAGCATAACACTTCGATGAGGATATTTCATTGATGATAACAAATTTATATGCCAGGTTTTGGTAACTTGCTCAGTGGACGCTTCAAGGTCATTGGTGCGGTCGCACTCCATTGGTAGCTAGTGGTGCTTAACGTTTAACTTATCTCTATAATCTGTTAAAGCAATCTAGTTGCAAATAACTTTTAGAATTCTGATCTAAATGATTCCATGTTAATCTCTTTTTAAAAACCACCAATGCTGTCAGTCAATAGCAATCATTCTTTCATTATTATGAATGGATAAATAACTTTAGAACCTGATGATGAAGTTATCGAAAAGAAGAATATTATCTGTTCAAGAATCAATCTTTTGAAACTTTGAATGAGTATCTTTAATCCATTAAAATAAATTTTGGGCAATTCAATTGTACGGAGCCACTTTACGGAAAGGATTCATCAAAAGAATATCAGACAAAAAGACAAATCATTCAATACCCATTATGCCAATGGTTGGAGAAACGAGGAACTATAATACACACAGATGGATGGGAAAGAAATAACTGATTGTCTTTCCTGGGATATATATTCACCAGAGAGTAAACCACACTAGTGATTTTCTGGATCCTGTGCTTTATTCATCTATTAGCACATTGCTAATAATGGTGTAATCGCGTATTACAGGATTCATCGTGACGTGACATTACTTAGAGAACCCCTGAGAAACCCGACTGTACTGAATAGCTGTATTGTCTTAAAATCAGACCTGCTAGCGGCACACGCCAACCGGGATTCAAACCCAGAACGCTTCAGTCACAAGGGGAGCTTGTAGGCTACTCAGCCACTAGGACGGAATGCAACGGCCCATGAATTTCAACTTATGCCAAAACCAGAAGGTTCTGGTTTCGAATCCTATTGGATGCGTAATTTTGAAGAGTCCTAAGCTGAGACGAAACAACTTCCCAGTAACCCCTGATTTTCTATTGGCTCCCTAGCTGTTACCAACTCTTGATCAACCCTGAAACTTGTAATTATCTCGTTAAGCCTTTTGTTATTTTCTTCCTATGTTCGTAGGTCTCTCTGTCTGGTCATGTGTGTTCACAGTAACAAAGTGTTTCTGCAACATAACAACAACATTAACTGAAATACACACAATGAAGAACTTACTTCTAATAATTTATTCATTGACTCAGGTAATTCTTCACCAAATTCTTTTAATAAAGCTACAGTCTCTCTTAATGGTTCAAAACCAGCATCTGTTGCCTCTTCAGCTTCACGTATTAACTTTAAGCGCTCTAGTATTGTGACTAATTTGTTATATTCCACTGATTCGATATCAGTTGTAGGAATTTCTAAATCTGCTTGACTATTCTTAACAAATTGTTGTAAATTCTCAAGAGTAGTTGTAACATGACTAAGAAGATATTGTTTAAATTTATCACTCCATTGTCTAATCACTGATAATAGGGATTGTTTAAATGGTTTCAAATTAGCCTTTAACCATGAATCAAATAATTTTGAATCATCTATCCGTTCAACTTCTTCAAAAACACGATCATATTTAATAATTTGTTCACGAAATTGATCTAGCGTTGGCGGATTTTCATGCGCTTCAATTTCCCCTGTGGGACCGATATCATCTTTAGTTAATAGACGACCATAACGACAAAATTGTTTAATAAATTCTGTACGATCTTCAGTCCAATAAAAGGAATAATTACTCTCCAGTTGTTGTTGATAATCCATTGCAGCGTACATAGCTGATCGTATATGATCAGTGATTGTTTTTATGAGATCAGTAACTTCTGGTGTCAACAGAACTTGTTGAGAGAATCCTGTGAGTGACTTGACTTTTTCATAGGAATCCATATCAGTTGCATCTTGTCCTGGCAGTGATGTTTTGTGTTTTACTTTTTGTTCAACTTCAGATTCTTGAACCGTTAATTTCTCCTCTGAAATTGGTGGCGCTGATGCTTGTGGTTCTGATTCCACTGCTGTTTCCGGTACTTCAGAAGGTTCTGTTGCTAACGGTGGTACAGTTTCAGAAGGAGCTGTTTCATTCACTGTTTCCATTGTTTGTGATGGTAGTCCACCTTCCACCTGACCTCCTGGTTGACTTGTTGTCGGTGTTGGTGAATTGCTTACAGTCGGAGTTATATCCTGAGGATTAATTAACGATGAGATTAAACGTGATTGGTCAGTGATGTCTTGTATTAAATTGTTGAATATTTCTAGAAGATTTACAACCTGTGATTCTTGTACATCAGGGGAATAGGCAAGACGATCAACCTGGAAAATTCAACACAGAAGAAAATCAGTTAGATTTAATTCACACTTGAAAGTTAATCTAGTACTTACTAGTGACTTACGACAGGACGAAGTCGCCCGAAGTTCCAGTGTGAAACCGTGTGAGCTCAAATACTCGCCAGGGATGACACTGGCTTCCAGTGGCTTTACAGATATCTCAAACTGAGAGAAGAGAGACCTGATGAACCATAAGATGCCTTCCAAGTCGATGAGTTTGGTAAACTATCGTATCTTCTCAGCTGAAGGTTCTGCGTTCGATTCTCACTCAGGTCACGGATGTGAAACACTGAAGAATCCCAAATGAGGGTGAGATAACTCTCCAACACTCCCCGATTTTATTGACTCATTGTTACAGCTGCACACTGCACAACCCTGAAACAACTACTAACCACTTAAGCCGATATAAAGTCAGTTTAAGGCTTTTATGACCGTCCCATAAATTTCACAGTTGATCGATCTGAACGCAAGAAACCGATCTTTGCGTCCTACTGCATATCTGATCCAAACTTCCTTGAGACACATACAGTCACGAAACGCCTTAAACACAACAAAAGAATGGTCATTCGTCGTAAGATCTATGTGGTTCCCACTTAACAGTGATAAAATCAAATACTCAGAATTACCTCAAGAGTGCCATTAGGCGGCTATACAGTCAATCTAGATTTTCAAGCTGCTATGATGCCCATATAGGGTAGCTCGGTGTACACGTCTTTCTTAGAGGCGAGTTGTAGAGTGAGTCTTGGTGTTCTGACTACTTTATATCTCCTGATGAACTTGTCTGGATAAATGTTATCAACCAGAGTTTGTGTCAACTTTCTTTCTTCTTCATCGAGTGTGTCTTCAGTGCACTTTCCTGAGGCTTTTTTGTACCGAACAGGCCAGGAAGAAACTGTGGTAATTAAGATACTGTCCTGTCCAGGTAGATTTTCTATAAATAGATCTTTTTATTGACCCATCAAGCTGTCGACTAAGCAATATATCTAGGAAAGATAAACAATTATCTTCTTCTACAGATGTAAGTGATATGCTATTCTGAACTTCATTCATTCGATTTAAATTTGAGGTGGCAGAACAAGACTTATCACTGATGATTACAATATCATCTACCTACTTTCTATAAAGTGGTACATTTTCGATTAAATCCTCCGATAAATTCTCAATGTACGACATATAAATATTGCAATAAAAATATCTGCTAAAAGGGGCCTTAACGGACTGCCCGTAGCAACACCATCAACTTGGCGGAAACAGTCGCCTTCAAATGTAAACCTAACATTGTTAGTACATAGAAGTAATAAATCGCTTAAATAAGATATAGGAAACAGGATGAAAAAGCTGTTTGTGGAAATGTAATCACACGAAATGTCAACTGTTTTGATCAAAGGCACATTAGCGAATAACGACAAATCAAGTCTTCTTATTCTTTGAATGTACGTTTGGACATACATACTAATTGAGGACTCCTCGATCTCTGCAAGTAAGGGATTCACAGCATATTCCTAAATGTCTCCAGAAGCAAATAGAAGCACCAAAACCCACTAATGGTACGAACAGGAGACCTAGCGCTTCTATCGCGAAACATATTATAGAGACAGGACATAAAAGTGATGTTAACAGATCTTTTAAACCTATCTGTAAAACGTGCTTGGGGCGTATCCTAAAGTTTGTGGAGGCCCTAGCGAGTAGAAAGTGCAAGTCACCTTTATGAGTTCAAAGCAACAATTCGTCATCACATTAAACCTTCTATGGTAAATTTTGTTTTGATACCAGCCAGGGTAGATGTGCTAGTACCTCTATTATTTGGTTTAGTGGTCTTCATTGTTATTTTGACCTTGAATATGTCCTTTTAACTTGACCTAAGTCTATTTTCTCACATCTGATATGTCCGTGTATGGAATCCGATTGTTCGGAATGTGTGTTGCGCAAATACAACACTACACGATTCAGACAAATTGCGTCTTCTTATTGCATTATCTAAATTCATAAATAATTACAAAGTTAGTTTTAAATTCTAAGATCACTAAGAAGGGATTTTCCTAACAATTACTCTCTTACACAGAACTTGCAACATGAGGCCACTTTGTGTTTTAAAGACACAACAGTCGCTCGATGTCAAACAATAATTACTATGAATCTTCGCCATGCATATCACAGACTAGACAGCCTTTTTTTAAATATTTACTGGTTAGGAAAGACGAGGAAGGAGACATTTTTTAAGAAAGAGAATCTATAGTCATCTCAATCCTGTTTGACAGTTACCTGTGCTGGTAATTGACCTGAAATCACATTCGTATTATTCCTGGAATTTTGAGTTAGATATCTAGTTAGCATGATGCAATACAGAATTGAATTAACTCAGTCAACAAATTTCTCTAATCTCACCATTTGACTCCTTTCTTTGACTGAGGACTTTACTAAGCTAGAAACTATGTGGTTTTCTATCATTTCAATGTTAGCTTATGTTCACTTACTCTAGAAGCGGAGATATGAGAGTAGAGTAACTACAGGAATAAAACAAGGCTACCTATTGTTACCAGCGATATTCTTCTTAACTGTGGTGGACTGGGTTATGCATCATACTGGGGGAAGGGGGGAAGTGAGGAGACGGAAGTATCTTGGGCAGACCAAAAAAAGACTCTAGAAGATCTGGATTTTGCAGATGACTTATCCCTAATGTCACACAAACTGGAAGACTTGCAGGCAAAAACCAACCAACTAGCTGAAGAAGTAGTTAGCGAAGACAGGACAGATTACAGGTTAGCATAGAGAAGTTGCCTTCGCTCAATACCTCAAGATCAGATGGCTGGCCAGAAAAGATCAGCAACACGGATCTCTGGCACTGAGCGAACCAACACAGCAGGAACAGATTGTGAAACAAATAGGCAGGAAGAAATGGTGATGGATTAGCCATACGCTGAGGAAACCATCAATTGACATCACTAGACAAGCCATCGGTCGAGTAGAACCTGAAAGGGAAGCGGCGAGTTGGTCGTCAGTGCAAGAGTGACTTGGAGGAGGTCATGTGAAGAGGAGATGAAAACATGTGGACAGACCTGGAGAGGGGTGAAAAGGTTGGCAGAGAACCGAAGGCAATGGAAATGCACAGCAGAAGCCCTATGTTCCTCTAGGGATTAAAGGATATAATAATAATAATACAGCAACAACAACCAGCAGCAATCACCATCAACGGGAGAGATTCGACAGAGGTTACCTCCTTCACTTATCTAGGAAGCATGGTTTCAACCATAGCTGGCGGAGCAGACGACGATTTCAAAGCCAGCCAGCCAGCCAGAGAATCGTAAAGGCAAGATACGCCTTCGTCAACCTGAAACTACTTTGGAAATCTTCTGCACTCTGCCTCAGTATAAAGAACTAGATACATATTTTCAAGACAAATGTAAAGTCAGTCAGTCAGTCAGTTCTTCTATATGGATGAGAAACTTGCACTGCATGTGAGTCACGAAAAGCATTTCCAGCAAGTTACAGACATAGCTGCCTCAGCTGGCCACATATTGAATATCAGCCAGAATAAAATTAGCAAACAAGAAACTACGGGAACAAACCAACCAAGAATCCACTCTGGTCAAGTATTATTCCGAAGAAAACGGAGGTGGATTCAGCACACACTAAGGGGACCATTGAATGACATCGCACGCCATGGTGATCATTCGAGTGGAACCCGGGTGGGAACCGAAGAGTGGGGCATCCGAGTGTAACGTTGTGGAGATCATGTGAGTTGGTGGAGATGAAAGATTATGAGCGATCATGAGCCCAGCTAAAAGGGACAGCAGAAAATTGAACAAAGTGAAGATGGATTGTTGAAGCTGTATGTTCCACTGGGAACCCAAGGGAACAACAAAGGTACAGTTGTGGTAGAGTATAACCCTACTAGGGAATCATTTTAACATTGAAGTAATAATAACCTGTACACCAATAACATGTGCGTCGGCAGTCCAGCTTGCCAACCGCGCATGCGGTCACGGTTCGACTCCCGGCCAAGGCACACTCTTAAACCCGGCTTAGTTAGTAGTAGGACCATACTAGAGGGAAGATTGGGCTTCAGGTTACTATTTACCCTAAAATTCCTGTAAATGAACAGAAAGTTACGCGTGGTTTGGAAGAAGTTTTATTCATGTTAACATTCGTCTGCATATTGCAACTAGAGAATTTTGAGTTCACTCACAGGTTGTCACACGTACTCATATCTCTGTAATTCAGTCTCTGCCAAATTTAGGGACATAATCAAACATTTTGGGAAATGTAACTTGGGACTGATTTCTTCCTATCCAGATACATCGTAAGACGTTAGTCAGTTCAGAACACACACTTAGAAACTAATTAACAAATTGTAGCAAATGATTCACAGAAAGCGGTCTTCAGTATTGAACGTCTTCGGTTCAATAGAAGAATTGTGTTCCACTACACAGGTGGCCCGGATTCGACTCACAAGCGACACAATCCTAAACTTTGCTTAGCCAATAGTAAATACAATCATGGGTTTGAATCCAAGTGAGTGCATACTGACGACAAGTCCCAAAGTGGAACGAAACTGTTGTCCATTACTCACAGCTTATTTCCTATAGCTCTCTAACTTACATAGATCTATCATCAAACGATAAAAAGAGGTTGTGCCTGATACTAGCAACCCCATCCCGCCAAAAGGCATAATCGCTACTGAAACCTAAAAGCTCAAACTTGAAACCTTATTTCCTTATAGGAAAGCCTCCAGTGTCGTTAACAGTATTAAAAGATACTGGTACAAAATTGTTAATTGTTGAGAATATCAAAAATAAATTCTGTGGAAAAGAAACAGTTAAACAGTCTCAGACGAAAATCCCCCATCAAAATGCAGCGGAATGCTGAATGGAATTCACACATAGCAAATCGACTCCCTGTATTATCAATTCTTCTTCCAAGTAGCTAGTCAGAATTCGCTTGTACTGAGCGAATTCGACCCTGTGAGCTGATAAACCCAGAGTATAACGAGCAAAATGACCATCTGATGTGGTTAGCCAGAAAAACACTACTCGTTAATTTCAGTGAGTGTCACTCAACTACTTATATCACACAATCAGTAGTATATAGTACCTAAATAAATGTATGTAACTTACTGCTAAATCTAATTTTGTCTCCATAATTGGTAATTCCACTTTCATTTTTTCTGTATGCGTTGATAAATACATCAGGCTACAACAGACTGTATCAATCAAGCCTTCAATAATGACATATTCAGCTGATTCCAAATATGCATTCCAATCAGGACTTGATGGATTTGCACGGTATAATTCTTGATTTCGCTAAAAAAAAGAAAAGTAACATTTAAATAAAAGAATACATGAAATAATGGCGGATTTCATTATGAACCCGGGGGGGGGGAGTTAGGCAACCATTGAAAAATGATAACAATAATGACAATTTTCAACTCCAGAGCTTGGAATGGCAGTCAGCTATCTATCTAAACCTCATCGACTTTGAAAAGTCCTTCAGCAGACAGCGTCGATCGAGAGGTGATTTGGAAACTAACTCACCATTATAGGGTGCCACTAACAATTATACATTTCATCCAGCAGTTGTACGACAACGCTGCATGCCAAGTAATCCACAACAAGAAACTTACGGAATCCTTCGAAGAAGTGAAGACGGGAGTAAGACGAGCTGGCTGCCCACTACTATCTCCAATGATTTTTCTGATTGCGGTAAACTGGATAATGCGACGGACAGCGGGCAACGAGGAGACAGGCATAAAATCAACCCACACAAAACACTTGGAGGATCTGTACTTCGCCGATGATATTTGTCTGATTTCCCACAAACTGGAAGATATGCAAGTGGAAAGCAACAAATTGGTGATAAAAGAAGCATACAGAGAAGATGGGACTTCAGGTGAACAAAGAGAAAAAAGAGGTGACAAAGATTCCTGACCAACACCAACAGCAGCAACAATGACAACAGACAACAATCAGCCAGCATGAATGGGAGGAATTTGAAAGAAACAACCTCCTTTACCTACTCACCTGGGAGGCATCGATTCAACTACAGACGGACGGAACTGACGAGGATATCAAAGTGAGGATCGGGAAGGCAAGGAATGTCTTCATTTCTCTCAAGTCTGTGTGGAGGAGATCAACAGCACTCAGCATAAAAAGCAAAATCTGGATTTTCAACTCCACTATGAAGTCAGTGCTACTTACTATATGGATCATAGGCTTGGCGAGTCACGAAGGGCACGTCGAACAAACTACAGACCTTGATCAACATCTGCCTTCGCTCAATACTCAAGATGAGATGGCAAGCCAGAAACGATGAGCGACAGGGATCTCTGGGAGAGAACCAACCCGGAAGTGATTGTGCAACAAATATGCAGGAAGAAATGGAGGTAGATTGGTGGTCATACTCTAAGAAAACTATCAAGTGCTGTCACTGGACAAGCTGTCGGGTGGAACCCGAATGAGAAGCGACGAGTTGGTGGTCAGTGCGAGGGTGACACGGAGGAGGTCATGTGAAGAGTAAGTGAAAGCATGCGGGCAGATGTGGAGCCAGGTGGAAACGTTGTTAGAGAACCGAACGTAATGGAGACGCGCGGCTGAAGCCGTATGTTCCTCTAGGAATTAAAGGAATTTATAATAATGCTTTATTTCCAAACAGTACTCATGTGATACAAATAGGAAAGGATAAAAGAGTCAATCATTTTGCTAATAGCATAGTGAATTGTAGGTTTCCCGCTTAACGTTACCCCTATATCTCACAGTATGCTGACCAAATAATCTTAAATAATGACTTTTAGGATTCTATCTGATAAGACGTAAGGCAGGGAAAGCTACGAATAGAAACGATGTTGAGAGTTAGACAATATGGATTTCGACTATTTCTCACAGTAGTAACTAGCTGACTCAATGGTATACCATTAGCCCTACTGACAACCTTTAATACTCTTCCCAGTATGACAATAGCCTTTCTTGAGTTGACCAGGAATGACTAACAGAGAGCGGTAAAATACAATAGGTAAGATGCAAGAATCAATAAATTTTAGAAGTGAGACGGGGGGTTGAATGATTCCTGATTGTTTTAACTTTTTAATGCAGAAGGTGGTTAGATAGAAGATTTTTTAAGAAATCAAAATGATATAGGACGATCGATCAGGAAAGGTGAGAGGATAGAACCAATCCTACTTCGTAAATCTTTAGTAATAAACAACCTTGATCCAAAAATACCAGTTATTCTATCGATCTTCCCCAGCATTCGCATGTTTTAGTAACTCTAATCAATCTCTTATTCATATACAGTAATCAAACATTTGATCTGAAGTTTGTCAAATCAATCTAACCTTCATTGATCAATTGGTTTATCTGTGTGGATTGAAGCACATGGTAGACAATTGGATTTTCAAAGAACGAGAGCTCAGCTGAAGTATTGTGGTGTGGTGTGATTATGTATCTCTATAATCTCTTCATATCATCAATAATAGATATACCCTTAGGCAGCCGGAAGTGTTATACTCTCCTTTCAATAGTTGAGACGATGTCGAGAACAGCCTGGCCACGAAGTTAGGTTTGACAGGCTAAAGAATCAACAGATAGTGTGGTTAAAGTTCAGGTCTAGCAGGCTGATTAAGTCACTGGGCTACCGGAACTTCTATTCATTAAAATGCTGTTTAAACTCTTTTGCATTTCTTATTGTTTCAACCATACAGTTATGTCAAATAACCACCAGATAAAGGCAACTAAACGCTATGGAATTCTTCAACAAATTGAAGAAAACACTTACAATTCTTAGTGAGCTCCTTTTTCCTAACTAAAATAATTTGGTTATTGAATTGAATTCTTGATTTTCCCGTCAACCTGAGACCGAGCACTTCGGTCCAATCAATCGACGGGAAATCAAGAATTCAATTCAATAATTAATATGACCCGTTGCACAAGAGGTGGCTCTCGTGGCCCAAGAGGTCTAGTGGATAACTCTTTGGCGTTTGAAACTATGGGTACTGTGTTCGAGCCTCGGTGGGAACATCATCACTCACTGAGAAATGCAGGTACATCCAGCTGACGAGTCCCAAATAGGACGAAATGCGCATCTTGGATTCCACTGCTAGCCACCATCCACCAATTGTATACTAAAATAATTTGGATTGTTTTACAAATTAAGGAGAATGTCTAAATTAAATAGGAATATTAGGCCGACAATATGACAATAAGAAGACGTGGACATCGTGGCTAATTTATGTCCAATGTCATGGAAACTCTAAAACTAACAGTTTAACAGAAAAGCTTGTGAAGAGATAATTTCGAGTGAAAATACATGGAAAAGAGAGATGATGAAGACATCTTACTGACAACGAGAACAAGCACCAGTCAACTCCTGAAATCTAAAGAGAGTCATCTCTTCCTCCTACTTAGTGAGAATTGTCTCAACTATAGGCTGCACAGGTAATGATGTCAAAGTTAGGATCAACTGAGCAAGACAAGATTTCATAACTCCGAAATCAATATCGAAATGTACTACATTCAGTATAGGAGAAAAGGGCAGAGTTAAACTTTAAGCACCACTAACTACCAATCAGCGGTGGTTGTGTTCTCTGAGCTGGATAGTTAATTTCCTAAGCTTTGATCGCTTCTTACTAGGCGACATCTTCAGCGAATACTTCTATTTGAATTGAAGTGAGCTTCTGGATTTCTCCATGAGTTTATTAGTCAGTCATCTCTCCTGGTGGGTGACCTTAAACGTGACTCTCCGGACGTTTTTGTGTGTTTTCACACTTTGGTCTAGGTTACTTGTATTGGAACTGATTGTTGCTTTGACTTGAACTTTAACCCTTTGTGTGTGAGTGTGTGTGAGGTTTCTTTCTTATCGGTTGATAAATTTTGTCTATCTCGATGTGTCTATTGATTGGTGATTCACTTGAATACCAGGCTGGCTTCTAAGAATTCTCTAGCATTCCTGTTGTTTCCTCTGTCTAATATTTGAACGTTGGTTGTCCCAGTCGAATTGATGTCCATGGTTGTCTGTGTGTAGTGAGTTATATGAGGGAGTGGATATGATGTCTTTTGACGGCTAGCTTATGTTCGTGGATACACAGACGAAGGGGACGTCCACTTTGGCTAATGTAGTGTTTTTCGCAGTTGTTACAATTTATTTTGTAGATGACACTGGTTTTATCTTCTTTCGCTGTTGAGTCTTTTGGTTAACATAGAATTGAGTGAAGTGATTTTGTTGGTTTGTGTACTACGTCAATTCCTCGTCAAGGTTTGAAGAGTCTTGTAGTGATTTCTGAGATATCCTGTATATATGGTAAGGCGATTTTCTGTGTCATTTCTCTGAGAATTCTTAGAAGTTTGGCATTCCATTGAATCATCAATCAATAGACACATCGAGATAGACAAAATTTATCAACCGATAAGAAAGAAACCTCACACACACTCACACACAAAGGGTCAAAGTTCAAGTCAAAGCAACAATCAGTTCCAATACAAGTAACCTAGACCAAAGTGTGAAAACACACAAAAACGTCCGGAGAGTCACGTTTAAGGTCACCCACCGGGAGAGATGACTGACTAATAAACTCGTGGAGAAATCCAGAAGCTCACTTCAATTCAAATAGAAGTATCCACTGAAGATGTCGCCTAGTAAGGGGCGATCAAAGCTTAGGAAATTAACTATCCAGCTCAGAGTACACAACCACATCAATATATATATATATATATATATTATCATGCTACCTACCTTAATTAATTCATGTATTTTCTTACCAACCACATCAACTTCTTTAAATCTAGCATTTCTTATAGTAATACGATCTTCCAAGGGGAGATAACAATCGTATTTACGTTCTTTTCCTTGAAATAGGGGTATTTTACGCCATTGTGACATTAGCTGTTCAATATTTTTGAAATTCTCCTCTGCTTCTATCACTCTTGATTGAAGTGCACTAATTATATTCAAGGAGTTATCAATAAATTCTGTATTCACTATATTATTATAAAATCATAGAAAGGGGAAAAATAATAATGATGATGATGATAATGGCAAGGAAATCAATAAAGATAGAGGGATTATTTTTGGGTAATAGGCAAGAAATCATAAAAAACTATTCTGACGATCAGACAGATAGCCGACAGGAAAGGATTAACCATATTTGGCCTGTACAAAAAAACTGACTGACAACCTGTCACCCAGTGAAAATGAAAAAGGAAATCAAGACGAACCGGACGAACCAGTTGAATAGAGGACATTGCCTGATGAACTTTTTTTAAGTATGCGGACGATCTAACTATTTCAATGTTTGTTAACTGCAAGCTAGACTCTACTAAGATGAACAGCTTTCTATCAGGAGTCAGCAAATGGTCTTCTTCTTCTAATGGCCTTAAACTAAATCCTTCCAAAAGTCAGACTGTTAATTTCAATTTCCGACGTAAACGAAAGTTAAATGAAGCCATTGGTTCCTATGACCCTTGCAAAATTGATGACATTAATATAGAAATCAAGCCTGAAGTTAAGTATCTTGGATTATTTCTTTATACTGACCTATCCTGGTCTTCTCATGTTTTAGCGATTTCTAAAAGAATATTTCGTCTGACTTTTTACATTAAGAAGTTGAGGCACTCGGCTATAACTCAAGCCCTCCTCTTACAGTTCGTCAAATCGTGCATCTTACCTATTCGTCTTTATTGTTCACCCTTACTTATTCTTTCTTGGATTGCGTAAAAAAAGACTATGTCATACTTCATAGAACTCTGAAGACTGACTGTCAGTAGGGCGAGCGGTATCCCATTGGGCCATATCGTTGACACTGTCATTGATGATAGGCACTTGATGTCATGCAACAAATTTGCTAAAGGAATTTTGTCAGACTGTAAGCATCCACCACAGCACCCGCAGCTCCAACCCTGTGTCTCCTCTTCAGGTAAAACAAGAAGTCTTTTTAGAAGACTTTATGCACGTACGTCCAAGTATAAAAATTCCACTATACCATATTTAGTACGTACTTTATGCGATGAAAATAGTGTCAGGCATGAACCAACTAACCTTCTTTGCACTACTAAATAAACCATTTCCTCCACCCTTACAACATCAAACTTTATTGTTATTGTATTTCTTATATTTATAATCCTCTCAATTTTTTTTTCATAAGTGTGAACATAGGTTAAGCTAGTTATAACTGCTAATTTTGAATTTCCTTCACTATACTATATCAACAGAACATTAGATCCAATAATAATGATAAAGTTTCCAAACTGAACCCACAATACTGTTTGAAACAAACTCGCTGTTATTATTATTATTATTCAATGATCTCAATTCATGCTTCGAATATTTTTGACCTTATATCGTAAATGTGGACAAATTCCTCTGGTTACTTTTGTTTTAATTTTTAATTTTATTTATATTTTAAGTAAATCAGATGCAAGGTGTTGTGACGAGTGCTGAGAATTCCATTCTGTATTATAAGTGCTGTTTTTGGAATAAAGTAAATTATTATTATATTACCAACTAGGTCAGCCCTCGAGTGGAACTCATATGGGAAGCGATGAGTTGGGTACGCGTCAGAAAGTGATGTGGAATAGATCACTTGAGAAAGAAGAGAAAGGAGGGCTTATGTGATGGTATCTCATGGATTTCCGTATTTGAAATTGTTACTGGGGTCACTAGATTCTATTGATATAAGAATAAAACTTGTGCACTGTGGTAGAGTATAATCATATCAAGGTGATATGATTATGAGCAATAAATTGTGCTCGAAACGTGGTCATCAGTAAACATTACTGTATAACACTGTGAGACTTTATCAAAACAAAAATTTACCCATAATGGAATCACTAAATTCTAGCCCATTAATGTATCTGTTCCCTAGTCTAACTGTAATATATTCTCTGCACTGGTAAAGTGTCAATGTTTTCAATGTTCCAACAAACGGATGTTACTTCTCGGCGAATTCCACATCAGGGTATATCAGTTTTCAAACTTACCAACTGCATAAAGAATCGTTAATTACTGCAAGTATCTCACTGAACTCTAGTTAGTAACTAGAGTAACCTGTCTAGTTCTTTGTTTGGTACAGACTGAATTTTGTCATCAGTCAAGTTTCCTATGTAAACCAACCAACTATGATAGGTGGCTCGCTGTCATCGTGCACTTTGAATTGTTGGTATTAAATGGTTGGATGCAATCGGCAGGAAGCTTTGGACCTAGGCTTTTTTCTGGTTGGCATTCATCAGTCAGCAAGGTGTGACCATATTGCAAATCTAACAAATATAATTCAGTCTGCATTAATCAAAGGAGCAGATAGATAACACCAGCTACTAACTAGAATTCAATCATAAACTTGAAGCAATTGATGATTCTTCATGCAGTCGTAACTTGTTTCAACTAAGCCTAACATCTATTCTAGGACCTCTGTTGGCCGACTGTTTTATGATCAGCCTAGTAGGCAATTTCTTATCACCAACAATCGAAGAGAATCAAGATATTGGAAACCTACTCCATACCAGCAATAATACCCATTCAAACATCGACATTACTCTATAAGTTAAATCTAACTCAATGTTCCATTTCCTCGATGTTCAACTGAAAAGAAATGCTGATGACTCTCTGAGTAGATCCGTATACCAAAAGCCCACACCGAATTGACAGTTTATCAATTTTAGAGTTGTATTTCTCTGAGCAGAATGAGAACCCTCATCTATTCTCTCCCCTCGAGGATCCGAAAAGTATGCATCATGGAATCTATTGACTGAGAACTGAGAAATTTCCGAGGAATCTTGATAGGAAATAGTTTTCCATCTTCAGATATATAGATAAGGATCTGAAATCAAAGAAAACGTCTGATAAGTTCTAAGCCGATCCCAAAAAGATGCTGTTGATTAACCTCGGATTTAAAAGTGACACTGAGGCAGAAATTCTCCACAAACCGATTTCGAAACCTCTCAGTGAAACTTACTTCGCCAACAGCCTACGACTGGCATTTTCTTGAATGAAAATATTCCCTCAGCAAGTGAAAGGCAAGTTGTCCTATTAGGCCACATTAACATGCCTATACCAGTCCACTTGTTATTGTGGAAGTGAGTACATTGATTGGTTTTACTATGTGTCCGCTTGTAAAAGTACTCGGAACGCAAGTGTGTACATAGTTCTATAACTGAACATCTGATAAACCCAAGGCATTCAGCCTTATATGAGTAATCCTTCAAAGCCAGGATCCGATCAAACCACTCAACGGAAGTGAAGTCAAGGCATCTGACTGAGCATAGCTGAGGCACTAGCAATCCAGAAGTTCAAGACTACGCTATGTATAAAAAAGAAATACGTCCAAATTTTGCCTCTACTATGGCTAACATATGCAGTTAGTTCCCCGAATATCGATTATCTTGTAACCTCTCTTATCCAATCTTGCTGTTTATTTCTGTTATTTCTACGACTTTTAATTCCTATTTGTACTACTATACTTTTATCTGAACTTCCCATCTTATTTGTTTTAACTACGTTTTTAACCCCTTTTCGCTACCCTATTAATAATAATAATAATTTACTTTACTCCAAAGCAGTACTTGTGATACAGAATGGAATTCTCAGCATTTTGCCACAATATTGCATTGAGTTAGTACATTAACAATAAATAAAATTCTACATAGATTATGGGTAATCTCAGTTAGTTTTGACAACAACATATCGGTAGCATGTCGGTAGCAAAGCCAAAATTGAACAAAGTGTTTGAAGGTGTTAGAAAAGTAGATACTACTAGCATATTTACTGGCGTAAGCAATAGCAAAATGGTCGAGGTATACAGAACGAAGAAGAATATTGTTAAAATAGACTTTGTAAGGAAGAGAGAAACAGAAATATTTGTGGAAATTTCTCACCCATTTACTATAAATACACAAACGTACACAGGATTTCACCATAAGCCGACATCAGTTAGGATGCGGACTGATGAAGAGTTCCAAAGTAGGACGAAACAGCTGTCCAGTACTCCCAGGTTTTCCAGTGGTTCTCTAACTGATTTCGACTCATGGTGAAATCCTCCATACAATCAAACAAAGTCCCTACAAAACCAATACTTGAAAATGTACAACCTAGTTGGTGACTTCGTCGAAGGGAGAATTTTCATCACTGCAACTGTTTATGGTTCATAATCATATCAAGGTACTCACATGACTTCCTAACTTCATTTATATAGTTCCATCACTTTTCACTTGATTTTCGCTTGATTTGATTGGTAGTAATATTTTCCATATTTCAGGTATGAGTCATGTGCTCGATACGTCATCAGTAAACATTACTGTATAACACTGTGAGACTTTATTAAAACAAAATTTACCCATAATGGAATTACACTCTACCACAGTGCACAAGTTTTATTCTTATATCAATGTTTATGGGTTTTCTTTTAATTTTTCTTTTTTTTTCCTTCACGTTCTCAGTGGAATTTTCCACATAGGGCTCCAAGCTAGAGGCTTGAAGTTTCTGTAGCAGTGATTCTAATTTTTACAGGATGGGGTTGCTAGCTTCATGCCCAACCTGTCCTCTTTACCAGCATTATCTCTGGCTTAGCGAGGTAAAGGAGTGCGTCTGTGGCTGGGGATCGAACCCCGGACCATGTGCATGGTCGGCGAGCGTCCTAACCGCTATGCCACTGACGCATGATATAACATATTTATTCCAGTTTATTCGATTCCCAGTGGACACACTGGTAAAAGTCGCCTAGCCAGTAATAACTCCTGAAAAGAGGAAATTTTATTTGCGATCCAGACTAGGCTACTCCTCTCTTCATAAAAACAATATCGCCGCATGTTTGAAACTTCAGTGTATGAAATGTGAAGTCCTATGTCCACCCCCCCCCATCCAGAAAGCAGAGAATCGAGAGAGAAACTAAAACGCTTAACTTACCATTCTCCCATGTCATTGTGCTCAATGCTGGTGACAATGTTTCATTGAATGTGTCCACTTCATCTGAGATTAAAGCATATTCAACCGGTGTTGTCTGTTGTTTAATTGAATTATAAGCATATTGTATTTGAGCTAACTTAAGCCTAGATTCCCGCAGAGATTCAGTTTTTTCATACATTTCTAATGTTGAATGAGGTAGACGGCTTTTTAACTTTTCGGGTAATTCGTAAACGATACTTTCAGGGGATATTTCGCCACATTTCGATTCACCGCTAAGCATTAGAAAGTAGTGAACTTCTCGTAAGACTTCAACTAATTGATTATCAAAGTTAACCTCGATTAGCAGTGAATTATTTGGATCACGACGTAATAAGGGTAATTTTAAATTGATATTACATTTCTCTGGAGCTGATTGACAAAATTCTTCTAAATGTTTATTTCGAAAACTGTTATGTATATATTGGACAAAAAACAAAAAAAATAAAGAATAAAACGTGAAGTATTCATTGCAATATGAAATCACTAAACTAATTAGATTTTATTTTGAGTCCGTCTTAGTTCCGAGTGGAATATAGGGCTTTAACAGCACATTCCATACTTCATCCTATTCCCTGCCACCACCATTTTGAGTTGTTTCCACAACTCCACATAAGTTTTTATCTCTTCCATGTCAACCTCGGGCCCACTTCCTTTGGATTCCACTCTATGGACTGTAGTTTGATGTCGGTCAGTGGTCTTTTGCCGTGTATATGACTCATCCCCATTTTCCTAAGCATACTTATTGGACGAAAGATTCTTGGCCAATTGTTTTTGGCCTGCCATTTGAATTTATTTTAGAGTGTTCGTTGGTTAGTTGGAAGAAGTCGATAGGAAGTCCTATCTGATCCAGTTTAGTGCTTGCAAGCTTGTTGTTTTAACTGTTATGACGTCACAATAAGATTGAGATTGAACTAGCGATGCCGAGTTGGATACAGAGGCGCTTGACCAACTTAGCATTATTACACGACAATTGCCTATTTTCCAGTGCACTCTGCGTAAACAGGAACATGCAAGGATGTGGGGGTGGAAAGTATATTTCAGTATCAGTCACAACGTATTTTACACAATAATGCATGATTTATAATATCACCAATGATATGTCATTTAGTCTACAGTCATGGTAAGTAAGACAGTGGGTGTTATTTTAAGAGAGGTCAATTCTGATTGGCTTACTTTCAGACTGACCTTGATCACCATATCGCCAACAGGGCGAATATTTGTTTATTCGTCTTCATATCACCTACTTTAGAAATAAGGCATTACTTAGGGTCGACCTGGAACAGTACCGTCTATTTGAGTGACCGAATTCGGGGGAGTGGTGTGTTGGTTGTTACTTCAGCGTCTGGAGCATTTGTAGCCTCCTCCATTTCATCAGAGAGGGAGAAACAGTGGAACGCTTCAGGACAACTTTTTTGTTTGAGATGGAACAGTTTAGAGTCAACTTTTGGTAATGAAGTAACTGGCTCAGGTCTCTTTGTTTGAACAAAAGACGTAGCACCATCTGGAAAACATTGATGAATTTCTGGGCGGCACGTGGTGATTGGGAATGGCGTCTGTGGTGATTTGTTGAGAATGGCCGTTTTGTTGAATTGCTGGCTACAACTATCTTTGTATCCAATATTATTGAAGTTCTGGCACTGGTATTGACTTTATGGATACGATTTGATGAAATGCCTAACTATAGTCTTGAGGTAATTTCGCGTATTTGATGTTATTATTGTTGAATAGAACCAGATGGATCTTGCGATGAATAACTGTCTTTTTACTGTCTTTTGAGCGGTTTTTTTGGTGACTGTACGTGTCGCAAAGAAGTTTTGGTCAGTTGTACATTAGAATTTTAGAAATCGGTTCCCCACATTCAGAACACAACGAGTCATTTTTGGTCATTATATTTGGCGATATAACAGCTCAGCTGCCAGATGCCACTCCTAACCAAATCATCGTTTCACTGAAATCCTCACGGACAGATTACCGGCAATGTCTTAATTGTTCACAGTAGACAAGATATCCTACTATATAACTTTTATGTTATTTAATTAGACTTTCTACACAGATACATTTCTGTACAAAGGCTATACAATAGTGCTTTAACCGCATTTTTCTCCTTCTCGTTCCCAGTGGAATGTTATAGAGCTTCAAGCTAGTGGCTTGAAGTTTCTGTAGCAGTGTTTTTAATTTTACAGGATGGGGTTGCTAGCCTCATGCCAACCTTTCCACTTTACCAGCACTATTTCTGGCTTAGCGAGGTAAAGGAGGGCGTCAGTCAGGGATCGAACCCTGAACCATGTGCATGGTCGACGGCATCCTAACCACTATACCACCGATGCCTAGATCGAACGTTAGTTAGTAACTAGTACCATAAGTCTAGTCGTTTGTTTGGTGAAGACTTAATTCTATCAGTGTTCAATCAAAGTATTTATTACGCTTCTACATTAGGTAAGTTGCTAGCCTGAATAACTGTCACTGAATGCATTCACAGGGTGACAAGGGTTCGCATCTCAGAAGGGACATGAATTCCATCAAGATTGCCAATACGCCCTGTTGACTGGTGAGTGACACTAAGTGCGAAACAAACCTACGTCAAACAAGGCTTCCTTCCGATCGCCTCTAACCATCTAATAACAAAAATTCCAAATTAGTCTCTCTATTTGTACCCGTTTACATTTCCTTCAATCATTAGTCCTTTCAGTGATACAGACCTTAAGACACACACTGTAACATTATATCAGCACGAAAATTACAACTTTCGAGTACTTACTCAGACAATAAATCCAGTAGTTCATCTCGCTTTTGTAATAATCTTTCTCCTTGTTCCGATTCTAGGATGCTAAAATAAAAAGACGATTATTTCTCTAAAATTTTTGTCAACAGTCTTCAGAAATGTAATGACTAGATAAAGACGGGTTATTCAGTAAATATCGTTTCCGAAGTATTTATTTTAAAAGTTTATGCAATTGCGACTCAATTGATTTTTTAAACACCATCTTTTAAAAGGTTAACAGAGATACATATTTGTGAAGTGTTGGTTCTCAGGGACATGATTGGTAACAGGTTCGAACATGAGTTGATATCAGCTATAGAACCATTGGAAAACCTGAGAGCACTACTGGACAGCTGTTTCGTCCTAGTTTTGGGCTCTTCATAAGCACGCATCCACAACACAGGTTCTAACACAGGACATCCCGATTACAAGGCAGGTACGTAGACCAATCAGGCAGTGGACCTCGATCCATTGGCCAGCCCATTAATTCCAACTTCTGCTAATTCACAATAGATAATATTAAGCAGCCACCAGCCTTTATCATAGGCGAATAACTATTCTCTTATCTGACTTGGAGGGACCCGCTGGTTACAACTTCTGTCTAGAAGTGCTGGTAACTACTTCCTGTATACAGGCAAGTGCTACTGAGCATAAAATTAGTGTCTGGATCGATATTTTTTTAATCATTCGTGTATTAGTTGTATTCTCTCACTTGCAGAGTTCACAGCTGAGTAGCTTTCACTGACTGACACTTACTAGACATCATTTTCAGCTCAGACTTCAGTATGAAGTAGACTTTTATAATTTTCTCATCTTTAGTACTGAGAAAAGTACAAGCTTTACTTACCTCAGAAAGTTAAGCCAACAAATAACCATTCATGTTGGTTGCATAAAGTCAAGCTTACAGGTCATCCAATCAGATTGTGATAAAAATATTCTGCCTTAGTCCAATGGTTTAATTTGTCCAGACTGGTTTAAACTGGTTTTAAGTGATTGTGGTCGCTTCCATTTTATATCATGAAGTCAGTGACAGTCAGTCTGCATATCAGTGAAATGTGCTAACTCCCTGATCTTAAAACTTCATTAATTATTATTATTATTAGTGAATGATCACTGCCCAACGATGACGCCTTTAGTTATCTAACCGAAATTCCTCAACCTGTGATTCTAACCATTCAGAAGGTGGGAGCCAAACAAATGATACTTATATATATATATATATATATATATATATATATATATATATATATATATATATTTGTTACTGTCTAACAGGTATCCTTTTAGTATAACATTAGCTGAAGTGTCACTGAAAATCCTTTAATAGTCAATTTCGTTCTTCTCGTTGATTTTTATTGTTCCCTTGGGTTCCTAGTGAAACATAGGGCTTCAACTCCACGTCTCCACTTGCTTCTGTCTTCTTTCTGGTGTACTTCTCACCTCCATCCATATTAGTCCATACTCTTTCAACTCCTCAACTCTTCACACGATCTCCTCCATGTCACCCTTCCACTGACTTCCCACTCGCTGCTTCCCTTCCAGGTTTCACTCGAGCGATGGCCTGATGCGCGCGCGATGTCACCCAGCGGCGGCCTCCTCACCTCAGCGAGTGTCCAATCCACCTCCACTTTCTCCTGCATATTTTTTGGTTGGCGATTGGTTCTTTTCTTGTTTGTTTGTTCCCATAGTTTCCCATTGTTGGTGATTCTTTCCGGCCCGGCCATCTGATCTTCAGTATAGAGCGAAGACAGTTGGTGGTTGATGAAGGTCTGCAACAGGCTGCTGAAAATATTCTTTGTGACCCGCCCGCCAAGTTTCTGATCCGTATAGAAGGACTGAATTGACGTTTGTGTTGAAAATACGACCGAATTTTGTTATTGATGCTGGGTGACGAAGATTTCCAGATTGGTTTCAGGTTGGTTGATGAATGTGTTTCTCGCCTTCCCGATTCTCGCTCGATTTGACACCCTCGTCCGTTCCGACTTCCTGTAGTTGAGACAATGCTCCCTAGATAAGTGAATGAAGTAACTTCTTTCAAATCCCTCCCGTTGATGGTGATTGGCACTGGATGTTGCTGTTGTTGTTCGTAGGTTGATTATTTTCATAATCTCTGTCTTGTTTATGTTCACATGGAGTCCTGTCTTCCCTAGCTGCTTCTTCGACCAGCTTGCCGGTTTTCGCTTGTAAGTCTTCGATTTTGTGACAGTGACATCAAACATAAATCATCCACGCGCGAAATCCAGGTCTTCTAGGTTCTTCGCGTCGGTTCAGGATATTCCTGTCTTCTCGTTTCCCACTGTCTGACGCATAATCCAGTCAGTCCACCACAATTAGGAATATCATTCATTGGTGATAATAAGCATCCTTGTCTGACTCCTGTGTTTACTCCAAACGCCTCGCTGAGTTTTCCGTTGTGGATCAGTTGACATGTTCCGCCGTTGTCGTACAGCTGTTGAATAAGGTTGATGAATATTTGGGGTACACCGTAGTACTTGAGTAGTTTTCAAATTACTTTGCGGTCAATGCTGTCGAAGGCCTTCTCAAAGTCTATAAAGTTGAGGTAGAGGTTTGATTGCCATTCCATGCTTTGTTCTGTGATGATGATGCGTAAAGTTGCAATTTGGTCAGTACATGATTTGCCTGACTTTCCTGAATCCAGCTTGTTCTGGTCGGAGTTCTGTCTCCGGTGCGTCCTTTAATCTCTCCAGGATGATGTGACTCAGAATTTTACTTAGCGTCGACAGAAGCATGATTCCTTGCCAGTTCTTGCAGAGTTAGGTGTAAGTCGCCCTTCTTTAATAGTTTCACGAGGTAACCTTTCCTCCAGTCAGTAGGCACCTTTCCCTCCTTCCAGACCTTTTGCAATCTCTTTCATTGGCTGGACCGAAATGTCTAGCCTCCGTTGACATGTCTGTTCGTTCCACCTACGGGGGCTTTGACGATATCTGTGGATTAACATGAAATTATTTAGTGCTTGTTGACTAGCAGTGAAATCCAATGATGCGCAATTTGTCTTATTTTGGACTTGTCATTTGGATATATCTACAATCCCCAGTGAGTGAGCGGATAACCCTTCGACGTTTGAGAAGATGGGTTCTCGGTTCGAGTCTCACAGGGGAATACCGTCTTCACTCTCTATGAATGCAAGTACATCCAGATAGTTGACGAGTAGTCCCAAATAAGAATCTTGGATCCCATAGCTAGTTAACATTCACTGAATAAAATTAATTATTTTCTATATCGTCCAATACTGACTGAGTGTATTACATGTACCTTGGATGAGTTTGAACACTCTGTTCGGTGACTCTAAAGAATAGGGACCCAAACCGAAACCACCTACGAACGCACAAACAATCTTGTCAAGGAAAACTTCGACCAATCAGAAGGCTCAAAAAGCGGAGCATAATTGTAAAAAATAGTTTATATAAAAGTAATGCAATGTTAAAAAACAGTTACAATGGATAACGTTCTCGTATATGCTGCAAAAAAGCTCCCAATTTCTCATAGGTGTCTTCATAATGATGTTAAACCAAGTTCTATACATAAATTCACCAAGATAACTGTATATCATTGGATTTCTAGATCCATTCACCAATCTAATCCGTTTTTTAGGCGACTCCAGAAACTTTCGATCGAATTAGTATGAGTTCCATCCAAAGGATTACGAAAACCGTTTGTGTGGTTGACTACATGATGAATATACTCGAGATTCGACGATTGACCGTAACTGCTCCATTCGTCTGTGTGAATAGTGGTCCCAGGTAGCAATAAGCGCTGGATAATAGGCGATAATACAGCAGCACTGCGAATTTACAACGCAAAAGGTGTAGAGCATCCATAATTACTTCTAGAAACAACAGAGTCACCTGATTGGTTCCTCAAGGTCATTTGTGCGTTCGTAGGTCGTTTCGATTCGGGTTCCTATTCTTTAGAGTCACCCTGTTCAATGTGTGGGTTAGTGAATTCAATCGTTTTACTATTTACATCGACAGACATAGTAGACATCGGGTATTATTCCTCTATATAGTAATGATGTCATCATATATGTAAATACACAGTTATCACTAGGGAATAATAATAATAATAATAAAATTCAAAGACTAACGGATATTCCATTAGTTCTATTGGATCCATAATAGAATTTATACGTCTCAACAGGAGAGTAGACCAAGATATAGCTCCAGCAGCTGGAGGGAATGCTTTCGATAGAGAATGTTTCAACAATTTTGGATTATCAACATTTCGATCTAATATCTGTTTACATCGATCCAATTCATTGTGTAAACTTTCGAGTAATTTATGATAACACGGTTCAATGATTGGTTTAATTCTTGGCCTTTCTAAAAGTGTTCCAAACATTTGAATAGTCTAGAAAGGATAAATTAAGATAAGCTAAGATGCAGCAGAAAAAGAAAGTTAATGGTTAGTAAATACAACGAAATGTTTATGGGTGATTTGTAAGTATTGGTTTTGTAGGGATTTTTGTTTGATTGCATGGGGATTTAATCATGAGCTGACATCAGTTAGAGAACCACTGGAAAACCTGGGAGTACTGGACAGCTGTCTCATCCTAGTTTGGGACTCTTCAGCAGTACACACCCACCGGTGTCCGAACCAAGACCTCCTGTTTACAAGGCGAGCTCGTAGATCATTGAGCTACTGGGACCGGACCGAGTGGTCCTTGAATTCTAACTTATGCCAATTCATGACATAGCGCGACTACTTTGTAATGTCTTTTTTGATGAGTTACTGCCTCATCCTCAACATGCTGTACCCAACTGGTTACGGCTTCCCACTAGAATCCCAGGTTAACTGCCTGAATAGGGCCAGTCACTAGTGAGCACATCAGATTAATTTTCAAGTATTGGTTTTGTAGGGATTTTGTTTGATTGCATGGTGAATGAATGAATGAACTGAAAGCATCTATGATATTTAATTTTCGTTTGGACCTTTATCTCTGTCTCAGTTTTAGCCCATCTTGTAGATAGTGAGCATAAAACGGAGGGTAATAAAGAACTTGAACACTTACTTATCCCGTAATTACTCTTCATTTTTCAAAAATTATGTATTATGTAATCCACTTGTTATAGACATTTCTACCTTCTAACTGTTTGTATATGAATCCATTTGTTCCCTTTATGAATCTCGACTAAACAATAAGAAGACGTAATTTTTCTGAATAGTGGGGTGTGTTTGCGGCGCAAGACATTTCGAACAATTTGGCCACACTCCACGTACTTGTCATTGGAATGTAATATATGACAGGCATCAAGCGTTAGTTGAATGGTAAGCGAATAGACGTTGATCGTCAAGTTATAAAGGCTCCAATATTGAAGGTCAATTTAATATTCGAGAGGGAGGTAATAGTAAATCTGCCGTGGTATGTATCAAAATAAAGTTTACTAAGGAAGGTGGTACAGTGTCATGAAGAATTGTTTCTTTGAACACACAAAGGTGGTTTAAATTTCCTAATTGATAGGGCTTCAACAAACTTTAGGGCACGTCTCAAACACGTTTTATAGATAGGTTGAATAAAGGAGGTGTAAACATAAATTTTATGTCCTGTTTGTATAATAAGTTTTGCAATAGGACAGCTAGGTCATCTACTCTCATCAGTAATGAATTCAGGGGAAACCATCTGCTTCTGAAGCCATTTAGGAACGTGCTCTGAAGTCCTTACGTCCAAACATCGACGAGTCCTCCCTGTGTATGTGTATGACTATAGGTACATTTAAATTGGTAGATAGAGTGGTAACTGACAACATTTCTCGTATGTTCTAAGTGCTCACATGGATATATGAGCTTCACATTCACCTATATACAGTAGCTTGATATAAATGTCTTTCACAGTGGCGAGTTGGAGAATGGGTCTTGGTGTTCCACTGACCACTTCAGACCTCCTAATGAACTTCTCTGGATAATTATTATCAACCGGGGTTTGTGTCAGTTTTCTCTCTTCATCTTTAAGTGTGTCTTCTATGCATATTCGTTGGATTCTACTGACACAGGCATCTCACCAAGGCTCTTTCGCGCCGTATAGATGAGAAACTGTGATAATTAAGATATTGTCCTATCTAGGTAGGTATTCCGTAAACAGATAGTTTTATTGATCCATGAGGCTGTCTGTCGACCAACCAATATGTGTAGGACAGATAAGCAATTATCTTCCTCTCCTACAGACACAATTGACATGTTATTTTGAATTTCAATCATTCGATTTAAAATTGAAGTGGCAGAACAAGGCTTATCACTGTTCATCAGAATGTCATCGACATATCTTCTAGGAACTGGTACATTTCCAATTAGATCTTCCGATAAACTTTCAATGCTCAACATATAGATTTCTGCTAAATTTATCGTGAACGAGCTTTCCTTAGAAACACCATCAACCTGACAGGAGCAGTCACCTTCAAATGTAAGCCTAACATTTCTGGTACATAGAAGTAATGAACGCTCTAAATAAAATATAGGGAACGGGACCAGCAAATTATGTGTGGTGAAACGTAATCACACAAAATGTCAGTTGTTTTGAGTAGAGGGACATTAGTGAATATGGAGTCCATCCACATCAAAAGAATACAAGTTTTTATTTACAATATTGATATCATCAAGGTAACTGACCAGTATTCAAAGATACATTTAAACTGATACTGGAAATAATTCTGTGAAATATGTGGGATTAATAAGCGATGAGTGTTTGATACCTCTGGGATAACATTTAATCTCCTAATTACTGCCATACTACTGATTAGTAGTAAGTAGTATGAGATACAAAACGAATAAAGTGGGAGCATTTACTACAATTTACTACCCAATGGGCAGTTGAAACATTCACCAGTACTACGAGCACTTCATCTATACCCTCTCGTGACTTCTTGAATTCACTACAAAGTAAGTCTGATGGTGTGAATGGGTTTATATCGAATACAGTAATCATCCTGTGGTCATATTATACATGATTTGCCTCAAACCGTTGTGTAATGCTTGGTGTGGTAGTGATGGTGTTATGCAGTTGAGGTGGATGGATGTTGGTAATGACCTTAATGTTATTGTGTTTTAGTTTTGAACCTGTGTCACTGGAAATTTTTAACCCAACTGACGAAATGGCTACGGAAAATACCACGAACCATGTGCGTGACTATCTTTCGCTGTGCGGGGACACCGGATGATGTCACGGCTGATTAATCTTGGGTGTGTTTCTTAACACAGGCCAAAGCCTATGTCCTTATCACCACACCCACATCGTGTCAGGGGTCACACATTTTCTAATAACATTGTAATATGATGAAATATATTTGCTGTTACTTTCTGCTGCTGGTTTCTCTGAATTCATCTTGAAACTCCAAGATGTCGACGTTGTACTTGAATTACATTTTCAATCTCACAAAGTTTTAAGGAACAATGAAAACATTAGAATCAGCAGGCCTGATGAAGGAGCCACAGCAGTACTGATGAATAAGTGTGAGTACGTTTACAAAACCAACTCGCTTCTAACCGATGAATTGAAATTCCAGGAGCTTAACAGCTCTACAGATCTAGACAGAAGAGTAGCTGAATAGCAGCCAATCAACACGCTTAAAGATCTGAGGAAAATTGGAGTAATCTCAGTTTACAACCATCCTTATCCTACTGGAAGTAATACTTCACGACTGTATGGTTTGCCAGAAGTATATAAAACAGGAACTCCTCTTCGACCAGTCCAAGACACTTCTAAGAGGGCTACATGAACTCCCCCAACCGTTGCAGAAGAATGAGGTTAATCAAAGTGATAAAGACGTCTTTGAATTCATGATGTCAACATAAATGGGAAGCAAACGCCAATGTACCGCTTATGAAGACTGTGGAATAGATAAGCCAACAATTATCAGGAAAGCAGTTTGATATCTCAAGGAGCTGCTTGCAATAAGACGCGCTGTAAATGTAAACTTCACATTCAACAATCACATTTGTTACCGACAAATCGACAGCATTGCCATGGGTTATCCATTAAGCCCAGATTAGGTAGATTTCTTTCTTGCTAAGCTTGAAAATAGTCCATTGAAACAAGTAATAGATAAAACGGATTCTTATTTTCGTTATGTTGTTGATACGTTTATTATTCTTGATGAGAACGCTGACAAGAATGAAATGTTAAAAAAGTTTAATGATGCACAACCATCGCTCATGTTCACTTGTGAAGAAGAACATGATGGTAGACTACACTTCCTTGATGTTCATTTGAGCAGAAAAGAGAACAGATGGTTCACTCAAGTTATATGTGTGTGGGAAACCTACATCTGTAGGTCAGTATACACATTCCTTCAAGTTTGTACCAATCCGATAAAAAGTCAGTTTGGTCAGATACCTGACGAATAGAGTAAGTAGGATCTGTACAGATGACTCCCTAGAAAATGAATCAGGAAACACATCAAACACTCTGATCCAAATGGGTTACCCTAGAAGATTTGTGTGGAGACATATGAACACCAGGTATAATTAGGAGAAAATGACAACAGTTAAAAAGAAACAACTGCAATTCATTGGAGATGTGGGTAGGATTGTCTATAGGCATAAAACGGACTTATACTACCACCACCCTTTATCTATCATTTTTCAGCCAACCAATTATGATTGTTCAAGTGAAAGACAAACTGTCTAGCTGTGTCTCTCCTATGTGTATTTACAAATTTAGCTGCTCTTGCAGAAAAAGCTACATAGGGTGAACAACTAAACAGCTTAACAAACGCATTAGTGAGCATCTTCCTCTACAGCTCGGAGAAGGCCAAGTAAAATCTATAAGAAGTTGCATTTTGTCTCATTTGATTGATGAAAGCGGTCACCAAGTGGACAGTAGAAGAAGAAGTGCTTTCAGTGTTATTCTATCGTATTCCATCGAACCTTTGGAAGGGAATTGGAAACCGCTTTTTACCTATAGCGGGAGATTTAGGAATTAATTCTAGAGAACAATTCTAGTCTTTCTACACAATAAAAGAAGTTTGTTCTGCTATCTGTCTTTCCCCCTGGCCAGGGTAAATTCTAATTAAATCGCAGAGTTTGTGTTAGATTTCTTTTTTCATCTTCAAGTGTATCTTCAGTGCATATTCGTCAGATTCCTCCAAAAGAGGCACCTCACTAAGTCTCTTTTTTACCGAACAGGAGGAAAGATGTGACAATTAGAATACTCTCCTGTGACATCGCAATACTTGAAGGAATACTGTTGTAACAACAGAAGGCAAGAGTTAGGCAACAGATCATTTATTAAGGAAATCAACACGTATTTATATATTTTCATGTACATTATTATAGCTTATTCAAGCTAACAAACACAGTCTTCTGACTGGTTGTTTCTCACAGAAAGTTGACCTTGCATCTCTTTGTGA